AGTTAAGATTATAGAAAAATTCCAAGAGTAGTACAATGGGAGGTACTCTCCTATATCCTTTACCCATATTTACCAGTTGTTAACTTTATCCTATTTGCTTTAACATTCTCTCTCAATCTTTTTCTCTAGATATTCATATTCATATATTCATGTATCTGTATATATATGTGTGTGTGTAAATGTGCACATGTGTGTGTGAGTTATATACATATATTTTCTCTTTTCTAAAATATTTGGGAATAAGCCTCATACATTATGCCCATTTCTCCTAAATACATCAATGTGTATCTCCTAAGAACAGGAAAAGTAAAGAATTTCAAAAACTTTAACATTAATATAGTAATTTTCTTAAAAAGTCAAATTATACCTACATGTTTCAGCCATTCTACTCATTGGTATTTAGCCAAGACAAATACATATACAAAGATATATACACAAAAGTTTATAACAGCCTTAATTAGGATTCCAAAACTGAAAACAAATGCTTCTATCTAATCTACTACCCTTATTCCAATTTTATCAATTGACCCAATGTCTGTTATAGCACATCTCCCCTTCAGTATAGGATGCAGCTCAGGATCTCTTATTGCATTTATTTATCATATCACCTTATTCTCTCTTAATCTGCAAATTATTCAGCTTTTCTTTGTCTTTCGTGACACTGGTATTTTTAATAATAAAAGCACCTCCCCTATTTTTAATGGAATGATCCTCCTGTTGGGTTAGTCTGGTGCTTCCTCATGACAAAGTCCAGCATATGCATTCCCAGTCACAGTATTGGATATGTGATGCTGTATCCGACACACGATGTCCTTCTGATCTTCACAATGATACCTATTCTATTCACCCAGTCAAGTTGTCTGGTATCTCCACTGGACAGTTACTATTTTCCATTGCTATTTTTTAAATTCCAGTGTAATTAATGTACAATGTTATATTAGTTTCAGGTAACCTAGAAGAAACAGATAAACTCCTAGAAACCTACAGCCTCCCAGAACTGAATCAGGAAAAAACAGAAAATCTGAGCAGACTGATTACCAGCAAGGAAACTGAATCCCAACAAACAAAAGTCTAGAACCAGATGACTTCACAGGTGAATTCTATCAAATATTTAAAGAAGAGTTAATACCTCTTCTTTCAAACTATTTCATAAAAGTAGAAGAGGAAGAAAAGCTTTTCTTCCAACTTCATTCTAGGAGGTCAGCATTCCCCTGATACCAAAACCAAAGAAAGACACTACATAAAATGAGACCTACAGGTCACTATTCCTGATGAACATACCTATTTTCTACTTCTTATAAGCCTGAACTCCTTGATCCCTAATTTTAATGGTCATAATTCATTGTTGTCCTCAATTACATGATGTTTGTCCAAGATGTGACCAACAGGAAACCATTTTTCCTTCACTGTGATGTTTTCATTTGAAACACAGTTGAGTTCATCTTTTTTTCTTTATTAACCTTTCTCCTGTCATTATTGATTTTTCAAATATGTAAAATATGAGCTTGCTTCCACAACTCAACTGAATTAAAAGATAAATTCAGAAGTATCATACCCTCTCCTTCTCTATCCTCTTCCCCCACCCAACCCTTTTAGAAACCAACTTCATGATCTATTGGTTCAACTGTCCCTCACTTGATTTTATAAAGATAAGGAGATATAGGTATGCTTTATTTCCTTTTCATTCTTACACAGAGACTAGCATACTGAATACATTGTGAACTTTGATTTCCAGGAGATACCATTAAATGAGAAAAGCATTCAGTACCAATTTTTCAAGGAAACAAAATTCTGATTAATTTGAACTTTTTCTCTACCTCATCATTTCTGCATGTATCTTTATTATTTCCTTCCTTGTGTTTTTTGGGGGTTGGCTTTGTGATTTTTTTTTTTTTCCAGCTTTTAGAACTGGGAATTGAACTTTTTTATTCTCATTGATTTGCCAGGTCTTTATCCATCCCTTTATTTTTAGGCCTTTTGAAGAACTATGTTTATGTAGGTCTCTTATATGAAAGTACAGAGTTGGGGTTTGCTTTATGATCCAATTTGAAAAGTTCTTTGGTAAGTTAAACCCATTCAAATTTAGTGAAAAACTGGTAATATTTGGTTTCAACATGAAATTATTTTGGGTTTTAATTATACATATACTATTTACTGTGTTTCTTTTAAGAAAAAAATTTGTGTTGGAAAAGTTTTTCCCATGATCTTATATTTAACTTTTTATGCCTTATTATGCTTTTTTAATTTAACATTTTATTATTAGATCTGTCAGTTTTATGATACCCTCTGAATCTCATCTCCTAGCTATACAGTAAGCCATGATCTTATTCTACTTTCCCTTTTCTTTCCATTTTTTTAAAGTTTCAAGATTCTGCTTTGTCAAATGTATTACATTTATATACTATTCCCCTACCCACATCCCTAACCCTGTTTTACAGTTAAATATACGAAATGTCCACCATCAGTCCTCTTGCCCAAATTTCCTCTCTCATTTGCATGAAGTTCTCTAATATATTCCCCAGGAAGGATGCATGTGCATACTGCTCCCTTAGTTCATGGACATTACTTTCCTATAGACTTGATACTTAAGAGAATCTTAGCGGCACATAAAATTTGTGACTCACAATTTTTTTAGTTTAACATGTTCCTCTACCATTTGTTTCCATACTTAAGTCATTCTGAGAAGTCTGATGCTGGTCCTACTTTCTTGATCTACAGGTTATTTCATCATTTTGCCTCAAGACTCAGAGGAAGTTATCGAAGCTTAGTAGTTTTACCCAGCGATGTGAGGAAGCTGAAGATCAGAAGCGTAAGTCAATTTTCCAAGGCACCTACCAGGTAGGCCTTTTCAATATATACCTTAATGTCCTCTTTTATTTCTGGTAATTTAAATGTTATTTCTGTTCTTTTGATTTTTCCTTCAGTCAGGAATTCCAATTATACATTTATTGGACTTCATTGCCTCTTCAATTTGAACCACTTTTTTCTAACCTTTTTAAGTACTTGACCCCATTTTCTGTATTTCTTTCCTAATTTTCATTCATGTCCCTTATTAAATTTTCATTTGAGTTTATTTACTTTGGGGTATTTTAGTATAACTCCAGATATAAATTTGCCTTCTTTCTTTCTTGAATCTAAAATTCTACCTTCACTTTTTTCCCTTTTTTGACCACTTCCTTTTCTTAGTTTTTGAATTTTTTTTTTTTTTTCTTAACTAGACTATACGACTGCACGGAGCCCAAAATGGGGCTTAAACTCATGACCCTGAGATCAATACCTGAGCTGAGATCAAGAATTGGATGCTTAACCAACTGAACCTTGTAGGTGCCCCTCAGTTTTTGAATTTCTGACCTGACTCTAAATCTTGCAATTATTCAGGCTCTTGTCTTAGGAGAAGTCAAAGTTCATGCAATCAAGAATGATGTCAGAGTCTTGCAAGGTGAAAGTGCCAAGCTCAAAATAAAAAACACATTTAAGACCTCACTGGGCAATTAGACATTATTGCTGGCAAATAAGAAAATGTGGCAAAACTTTTAATGTAGATTATACTGAAGATTGATGACATAAGGGAAGTGGTTACAGATATAATAAATGCTATACAAAATGTCCTTGAAAAAAGACCCCATTCTTGGAGAGATTGTGCTCTGCTTGGATGCTCACAGTTTAGTCTAGGGTTCACTGATCTAGAATCAGTATCTTGATCAGCTGGTTTATAGTTTTCATCAAATTTGGAAAATATTTTTTTAAATATTTGTTATATGCCCTTTCTGGGGACTCCAAATTGCATATATACAAAGCCACCTGAGATTGTCCCACAACTCAGATATGTTCTGTTCACTGATTTTAAATTACTTATCTTTGTGTTTCCTTTGGATAGTTACTATTGCCGTGTCCCCAAGTTCACTTGTATTTTCTTCTGAAATATCTAATTTTCTGTTAATCTCATCCAGTGGATTTTTCACCTCAGAAAATATAGTTTTCATCTCTAGAAGCTCGGTTTTGTTATACCTTTCATGTTCCTTTTTGAATAAGTGGAAGAGTTATTAAGCTATAACAGAACTGGTAGTTACAACAACTGGTTAACACTGTCCTTTCTAGGGTACTTTCAATCAACTGATTTTTCTCATTATGTGTGTCTTTTCCTGCTGCTTTGCATGTCTGGTAACTTTTGACTGAATGCCAAACATTATGAATCTCTATTGGGTTATGGATATTCTGGTGTTTCTAGAAATCTTCTTGAGCTTTGTTCTTGGATCCAGATAGTGATTTGAAAATAGTTTGCTATTTGGGGGCCTTACAAGATCTCTTAGGCAGGACTGGATGGAGCAGTACTTAATCCAACCTTAACTGTTTGTTTCCTGCTATTAAAGCAAGACATTTCTATATACTTTACAATACCCTATGGATCCAGAATTTCCCAGTCTGGCTGGTGAGAATAGGTACTCTACTGAGCCCTGTGTGTCGGCCACCATCCCCTCTCATCATTTTGGTTGGTTCTCTCCCCAGCCTCCAGTAGTTTCCTCACACACATTTGTACTGAACTCTGGTTCAGTACAGATCTCTGGTGTTCTTCAGTGCATCTCTGCCTCTCCAGTGCTATGTCCTCCAAACTAATGGCCTCAGTCACCCCAGGCTCTCAGCATCATCTCTTCAACTCAAGAGTTGGCCAGATTCTACGTAGGTTCCCAACACCTCCTCATCCCGCAGAGGAATGCTCAGCAGCTATTTACACTTCCTTAAGGCATTTAGCTGGGGCTGCCATAGAACTCACCTCCTATGTTTCACATGTCTCAGGGGTCACTGCCCTTTGTTGCCTAATGTCCAGTGTCCTAAAAACCCCATTTCTTATATTTTGTCCTCTTGGGGGAGTTGTTTCAGATGTAAGGGTAAATCTAATCCCTGTTACTCCATCTTGGCCAGAAGAAAAGTACCCATCATAGCTTCTGCATATGAATATATGTAGGATTTAAAGCCATCCTAGGATGAGAAACACTCCTTACCTTATTAATGTATCATCATCCACAATGACCAACCATGCAATTTTGTCATGGCTGTGATTCAGAAATTTTTCCAAAATAGCAAATGTCTTTCCACAATGACCTAGGAAAGGCAAGAAGAAAACTTACAGTGTAATATTTTCTTTAAAATGCACATATAATTCATTTTAGGGGGAGCCTGGGTGGTGTAGTTGGTTAACCATCCAACTCTTGGTTTCAGCTCAGGTCATGATCTCAGGATCATGAGAGATGGAGCCCCACACTGGGCTCTGCACTCAGCAGGGAGTCTGAATTTTTCTCTTTCCCTCTGCCCCTCCCCCCCCCCCCCCCCACTCTCCTTTTCTCTAAATCTTTAAAAAAATTTTTTAAATAAAATACATATATAATTCATTTTACATTATTTAAAGTTTTAAAAGCTTAAATCCTGACACATATACAAATAGAAATTTTAAAAATTAGCTTTTTCTCATTTTCATAGACATAGTGAACCAGTGGGAACTTCAGAGATCATGAAGTCTGAGCCGTTTATTTCACACATGGGGAAATGGGAGACCCAGAGAGGAGGTCTCTTAGCTAATCTGAGGCAGAGCTAGGATAGTATCCTTGCTCCAAAGTTGTAAGCCTCATAGAAACTACAGAAGCTTGGCACCTTTCTTTAGGTATATTCTGAAGGAGCTGTTAGAACCCTAAGCATTAAAACTTGGGAAACGATGGTACAAAAGTAGGATATTAGATCTCCATTCATTTACTTTGTAAATATTTGCTATTAAGTTTCCAGTATGCCAGATACTGTGGCAGGTTCTTCTCTAAAAGCATAGTATGGACTAAGAGTTATAGCTCTTCAGATGCCAACAGATAAGTCAGTCCTTTAAGGGAAAATGCTGGGTCCCAAGATAGGAATAAAATGCTTGGAAAGAGAACTCAAATCAATAAATAACAATATAACCCTGATTTCAACAAAATATTTGGTGACACAATAGAGAACAAGCGAATATTAACAATATTAAACCACTCAATGTGACCTTTATTTTCATTTTCTTGATCTCTTTACGTATTTTTAACCATTATTTGGTTAGCCATCTCAAACTCCTATAGGAACAAGGTAGAGTATAAATAGCAATAATGTCAGACTAAACAAATTAAGAACTCAAGGAATATGTGAATAAATGATTATGAAAAAGCAACTTAAATTGAAATCTAAAAAGCCAGCTTAACCAAAAACACCTCAATCTAAAATTATTTTTCCAGAGCCCAGGGAAGATGGCAGAGGAGTGGGGGACCCTAGTTTCATCTGGTCCCAGGAATTCAGCTAGATAGCTATCAAATCATTCTGAACACCTGTGAACTCAACCAGAGAGCTAAGAAAAGAATCACTGCAATTCTACAAATAGAAAAGCGATCACTTTTTGAATGGTAGGAGGTGCGGAGAAGTGAACCCAGGGGATATATCAGAGGATAAACCCTGGGGGGGGAAGGAGCCGCCATAAGCCAGATATCGGAAAGTGCTATAGCAGTGGGGTGCAAAATCAGAACTTACAAAAATCTGTTCCCATGTGTCTAAAAGGTGCTCAGGTGGTGAAGCAGACAGAATACCAGGTGGGACAGCATGGTCTCAGGATCCCCAAAAGAATGGGGGTGCCTGAGTGCGGCAGAGTTCCCAAGCATTGGAGTAGGGAAGTCAGCTGCAATCAGGGAGCTCAGGAGTGGGCTCTCAATTCTGTGTTGCTATAAACCGTAGACCACAGCATGGTCGGTGGACTGCTGTCTGAGCAGCGGTGAGAGTCCCCTCCTTGCTCCCGGGCAGTGGCGCATATGTGCGCTGTAGGAGTCTAAAGTTTGGAGACTCCACAGGGTCCTGTGCCTAAGATTAAAATGCTCAGTTACAGGCTGGGTGAACAAAGAGTGCAGAGGGAAACCAGGGAGACGAGAGTGACTGACTGCTTTTCTGTGAGGGCTTACTGAAGAATGTGGGTTGCGAATTGTCAGCTCCGGGGCTGAAGACTGGGACACAACCGTTCTCATCCTCTAAAACAGCGTGTAAAGCCTTCAGGGAACAAAAGCCACATACAGCAATCTGAAGCAGCTTACGCTCAGTCTGGCCCCCTAGCAAGGGGTGGGGCAACTCCGCCCAGGCAAAGATCAGTGCAGCAGGCCCCTCCCCCAGAAGACCTGCTGGAACATCAGGCCAATACCAAGTTTACACAGCACACAGAACAACAAAACTCCAGCACTAGGGGAAAAGAGAATATAGAATTTGAGGTTTTTCTCTCATTCATTAGGCTTGCAGTTTAATATTTTTTCCTTTTCAACTAGTTTCTTATTTTATCAAACCTTTTAAGTCTTTAATTTTCATTTTTACATTTTATATATATATTCTTCATTTTTGGCCTCATTTCATCATATTCAATTTTATTTTTGTATATATGTTAAGTTTTTCTTTCTTTACAATTTTAGGATTTATTTTCTAACTAATAGACCAAAATACTCCCAGGACCTAGTGTATTACTCTGTTCAGTCCACCTTTTTTATTATATTCTTTTTTCCTTTTTTGGTTTCTGATCTCCTCTGATTTGTTTAGTACATATTTTCCTGGGATCACGGTTGATATTTTTGTATTTTGTTCCCTTGTTCATCTGTTCTTCTCTGGACAAAATGACAAGATGGAAAAATTCACTGCAGAAAAGAGAACAAGAGGCAGTACTAACTGCCAGGCACTTAATCAATATGGATACAAGAGAGATATCAGAGCCAGAATTCAGAATAACGATTATAAAAATACATCCAGATTGAAAGTAAGGGGGTTGAAAACCATTTATCATGCTAATGGACATCAAAAGAAAGCTGGGATCCAGAGGGAGACAAACCATAAGAGACTCTAAATCTCAGAAAACAAACTGAGGGTTGCCGGGGGAGTGGGATACAGAGAGGGTGGTGGGGTTATGGACATTGGGGAGGGTATGTGCTATGGTGAGTGCTGTGAAGTGTGTAAACCTGGCGATTCACAGACTTGTACCCCTGGGGCTAATAATACATTATATGTTTATAAAAAAATTTTTAAAATATTTTTTAAAAAACCATATAAATCATAAAAGAAAAATTGAGATATTTAACTACTTTGAATAAAATAATTTTGTTCATTAAAAGAAAAAACAAAACAAAAGAAAGCTGGGGTGGCAATCCTTTTAGCAGACAAAACATCTTTTAAACCAAAGACAATTAACAGATGAAGAAGTTCACTATATCACAAAGGGTCTATCCAACAAGAAGATCTAACAATTGTAAATATTTATGCCCCTAACTTGGGAGCAGCCAATTATATAAACCAATTAATAACAAAATTAAAGAAACACATTGATAATACAATAAGAGTAAGGGACTTTAACACCCCACACATGGCAATGGACAGATCATCGATGCAGAAGATCAACAAGGAAACAAGGCACGTTGGACCAGATGAACTTCACAGGTATATACTGAGCATCCCATCCTAAAGCAACGGAATACACATTCTTCTCAAGTGCATATGGAACATTCTCCAGAATCGATCACATACTGAGTGACAAATCAGATCTCAACCAGTACCAAACGAGTGGAATTATTCCCTATTTTCAGACCATAATGCTTTAAAACTTGAAGTCAATCACTAGAGGAAATTAAGAAGGAGAACAAGCACATAGAGGTTAAAGAGCATCCTATTAAAGAATGAATGGGTCAACCAGGAAATTAAAGAAGAATTTAAAAAATTCATGGAAACAAATGAAAATGAAAACAACTGTTCAAAATCTTTGGGATGCAGCAAAGGCGGTCCTAAGAGGGGATTATATAGCAATACAAGCCTTTCTCAAAAAACAAAAGTTTCAAATACAGAGCCTAACCTTACATCTAAAGGAGCTGGAGAAAGAAAAGCAAATAAAGCCTAAACCAAGCAAGAGAAGAAAATGAAAAAGATTAGAGCAGAAACCCATGAAACAGAAACCTAAAGAAGAGTGGAATATATCAACAAAACTATGAGCTGGTTCTTTGAAAGAATTAATAAAATTGATAAATCCCTGGCCAGACTTATCAAAAAGAAAAGAGAAAGGACCCAATTAATAATATCATGAATGAAAGAGGAAAGATTACAATCAAACACCAAATAAATACAATTATAAAAACATATTATGAGCAACTATATGCCAGCAAATTAAGCAATCTGGAAGAAATGGATGCATTCTGAGAGATGTATAAACTACCAAAACTCAAACAGGAAGAAATAGAAAACCTGAGCAGACCCATAACCAGCAAGGAAATTGAAGCAATAATCACAAATCTCCCAACAAAAGAGTCCAGGGGAATTCTACCAAACATTTAAAGAAGAATTAATACCTATTCTTCTGAAGCTGTTTCAAGAAAATAGAAAAGGAAGGAAAACTAATAAACTCATTCTATGAGGCCACCATTACCTTGATCCCAAAACCAGACAAAGACTCCAGTCAAAAGGAGAATTACAGACCATTATCCCTGATAAACATGGATGCCAAAATTCTCACAAAAATACTATCCAGTAGGTTCCAACAGTACATTAAAAAGATTATTCACCACCACCAAGTGGGATCTATTCCTGGGCTGCAAGTGTGGTTCAACATCCACAAATCAATGTGACACACTACATTAATAAAAGAAAGGACAAGAACCATATGATCCTCTCAATAGATGCAGAAAAAGCATTTGACAAAATACAGCATCCTTTCTTGATTAAAACTCTCCACATGTAGGGATAGAGGGAACATAGCTCAATATCATAAAAGCCATCTACAAAAAGCCCACAGCAAATATCATTCTTAATGGGCAAAAAGTGAGAGTTTTTCCCCAATGGCCAAGAACAGGACAGGGATGCCCATTCTCACCACTGTTGTTCAACAGAGTACTAGAAGTCCTAGCCTGAGCAATTGGACAACAACAACAAAAAAATAAAAGGCATCTGAATGGGCAAAGAAAAAGTCAAACTCTCACTCTTCACGGATGACATGATACTCTCTGTGTGGAAAACCCAAGACTCCACCCGAAAATTGCTAGAACTTATAGTGCACAGAATTCAGATGCATTTCTATACACTAACAATGAGACAGAATAAAGGGAAATTAAGGAATCGATCCCACTTACAATTGCATCAAGATACCTAGGAATAAACCTAACCAAAGATGCAAAGGATCCATACTCCATAAACTGTAGAACACTCATAGAAGAAACAAAGAAATGGAAATAGGAGACAAAGAAATGGAAAAATGTTCCATGGTCATGGATTGGAAGAACAAATATTGTTAAAATGTCTATGCTACCCAAAGCAATCTATACATTCAATGCAATTCCTATCAAAGTACCATCAACATTTTTCACAGAGCTGGAAGAAATAATCCTAAAATCTGTATGAAACCAGAAATATCCTGAAGCCAAAGGAAAGTTGAAAAAGAAAACCAAAGCTGGTAACATCACCATTCCAGACTTAAAGCTCTATTATTAAGCTGTAATCATTAAGGCAGTATGGTATTGGCATAAAAACAGACACATAGATCAATGGAACAGAATAGAGAGGCCAGAAATAGACTGTCAACTCTACGGTCAACTAATCTTCGACAAAGCAGGAAAGAATGTTCAGTGGAAAAAAGATAGTCTCTTCAACAAATGGTGTTGGGAAAATTGGACAGCCACATCCAGAAGAATGAAACTGGACCATTTTCCTACACCACACACAAAAATAAACTCAAAATGGATGAAAGACCTAAATTTGAGATAGAAATCCCTCAAAAGCCTAGAAGGGAACATGGGCATCAACCTCTTTGACCTCAGCCACAGCAACTTCTGGCTTGACAGATCTTCAAAGGCAAGAGAAACAAAGGCAAAATGAGCTATTGGGACTTCAACAAGACAAAAAGCTTTTGCACAGCAAAGGAAACAGCCAACAAAACCAAAGACAACAGAATAGGAGAGAATATTTGCAAATGACATATCTGATAAAGGGTAACATACATAATCGATAAAGAACTTATCAAACTCAAAACCCAAAGAACATATAATCCAGTTAAGGTATGGGCAGAAGACATGAACAGACATTTCTCCAAAGAAGACATACAAATGGCCAACAGACTCATGAAAAAATGCTCAACATCACTCAGCATCAGGGAAATGTAAATCAAAACCGTAATGTGATACCACTTCACACCAGACAGAATGGCTAAAATCAACAAGTCAGGAAACAACAAATATTGGTGAGAATGCAGAGAAAGGGGAACCCTCTTACACTGCTAGTGGGAATGCAAGGTGGTACAGCCACTCTGGAAAAAGTAGGGAGATTCCTCAAAAAGTTAAAAATTAGAGCTACTTTACAACCCAGCACTACAGGGTATTTACCCCAAAGATGCATATGTAGTGATCTGAAGGGGCACTTACACCCCAATGTTCATAGCAGCAATGTCCACAATAGCCAAACTATGGAAAAAGCCCAGATGTCCATCGACAGATGAATAGACAAAGAAGATGTGGTATGCAATAGAAACTATGGAAAGAACCTAGATGTCCATCAACAGATGAATGGATAAAGAAGATGTGGTATATATATATACAATGGAATACTATGCAGCCATCAAAAGAAAGGAAATCTTGCCATTTGTGATGACATGGATGGAACTAGAAGGTATTATGCTTAGCGAAATAAGTCAATCGGAGAAAGACAACTATCATATGATCTCCCTGATATGAAGAAGTGGAGATGCAACATGGGGGGATTTGGGGGGTAGGAGAAGAATAAATGAAACAAGATGGGATCGGGAGGGAGACAAACCATAAGAGACTCTTAATGTCACAAAACAAACGGAGGGGGGCTGGAGGGAGGGGGGTAGGGAGAGGGTGGTGGGGTTATGGACATTGGGGAGGGTATGTGCTATGGTAAGTGCTGTGAAGTGTGTAAACCTGGCGATTCACAGACCTGTACTGGGCTAATAATACATTATATGTTTATAAAAAAAAATTAAAAAAAAAAAAAAGATGTGGTATGTATACAATGGAATAGTACTCAGTCATCAAAAAGAATGAAATCATGCCATTTGCAATGACATGGATGGAACTAGAGGGTATTATGCTAAGGAAAATAAATCAATCAGAGAAAAATGATTATATAATTTTAGTCATAAGTGGGAAAGAAAACAGAGAGAACATAGAGAAAGGGAGGGAAAAATAAAACAAGACAGAGTCAGGGAGGGAGACAAACCATAAAAGACTCTTAACTATAGGAAACTAACAGTTGCTAGAGGGGAGGTAGGTGGGGGGATGGGGTAACTGGGTGATGGGCATTAAGGAGGGCACTGGATGTAATGGGCATTGGGTATTATGCAACTAATGAATCCCTGAATTCTATGTCTGAAACTAATACTATACGATTATTAATTGAATAAAATATAATTAAAAATAAAATCATGTCTCCAGAACAAAGCAATAGATAGACTCAGTAATATATTTAACCTTGTCAGAAGAATGGTATATCTGATTCTACATTGTACACTATCAATCAAGACATTATAAAAGAGATGACTATGAAATAATCCAGGTAAATTACTCAATAAAACAAGACAATGAACTTATTTCTTTTTCTATTCATAAAAGGGTATGGGAAAGTAGAAAACTAAAGAAAAACGTGTGGCAGGAACACTAGATAAAAATTAAGATAAACAAAGAGCATCTGAAGGTAAAGTAGCCAAATGCCTACCTCTATTTTTCTGAAATAAAAAAATTTTTAATTAGAAAGTCGGCAAGCTGAAGAGAAAAACAGGTGTACTATCAATAATTACTCACTAAAATATTAACAAAATACATGACTCTTGTGGAGCTTATGCCCCACATAACCAGGGTAGGATGTGGTTAAGCACTACTGGAGAGGGATATACAAAGTGTGAGACCCTAAGGTCCATGAGGAGAGAAACCATAGGCTTCGTTCCTGCTTTCTCTTCTTCTGGGGCTTTGGCAGCTGGCAAATAGTAGCCACAGAACAATCCTGGCCAGGTTAAACCACTGAGGAGAAACTTTGTGTGGCAAGATGATAAATTAACTTTGGACACTCCATTATGGCCACAGTGAATTATGAAGGTATAAAAAAAATCTGTTAAATAATCCTAATTGTCATGTGTTCAGTCATATCATTATGGTCTAACAACTTACGACCTTTCTTAGTATTTATAAAGCAGCTCTTAATCCAAGAGAATTGGTCCCTATCCATGGGTAAAGATGCTGGGAGGGGAGAAAGTGAAATTACATAAGGCAAATATAGTATTTATAAGATATTTCATTTTTATCCTAATTTAGGATAATGATGGACATTCTGAATAAGAGTAGTACAAATTAAGGACTCACCTCTATCTGTATTGGGAATTCCCAGATCTACTGTAGGAATGGAACTTTCTGTGTGATCACTGTAGTATTCAATGACACTTGCCTGGCCCGCCCACGTCTGCTTTACAATGGGGACTGAAAAAATGAGAGAAGTGACAGTCACCGGTACAGTTCTGAAGGAAAGCTTAGCACCATGAAGGGCAGCATAATCACTTATTAAGGAAGAGAACCATTATTTGTTCTTCTTCAGGTATCCCAACCTGCTTGCTTTTCCTACTCCAAGAAATATCCGGTTGTCGGTTGATGATAGCACCTGCATGGAACCCTCTTTTTGAGATGTTTTCAGTGTATGTTAGAGCCCAACACTTCCCATTTCTGATGATTCCTCATTCCTTGAGACCATGTAGTGATCCATTTCCTAGTCTGATTACACTGAAGGATTTTAATTTTCCTCTTTCCCCATAGGCTATTTCATTTAAAATTCAGAACTGGATTTTTCAAATGCTTCTTAGAGGGGTGGGAAATATTCTGTGTTTCTGGCTGAGATGCAAATATGTCTCCCTTAGAATGGGGATGGGGGCTTCTGAAATGACACACGTCCCCACCCAACGATTCCAAAAGAACCACGCAATCCTACCCAGGGCATGACCCTACCACTGAGAACCACTGCCTGGGAGAGCTGATATTCTTTATGCTACACTTCTGGAAAAACGTGGAAGAAGAAAGGTTGAGAACCACTGCAGATTTCTGACCTCAACCACTAACAGATAAATTGTTTTAATTAAAGAAACACAAACAACAGAAAACTTTCCTAGTTTTCTCTAATTTAGAGCTACTTTTAAGCTTCACCTATTTCCACACTTGACAGAATTCTTCCTGATCACTGATATTAATTCACCTGACCAAACAGCTGCATAATTATTTTCTTATATACTTTTTTTTAGCTACTGTCTGTGCATCTCTAAATTTTGAGAAGAGGTTTCTGTTGTTTCAATAGAAAAAAAAATCGTCATATCTCGATTATAAACCCTGGCAATTTAAGAACCTCCACTCCAGTGAACTAAATCTTCAGGTCAGAGATTTTATCAGGTCATTTATCTTTCCCTTTTTCCCAGCACAAATAAAAATATATGTAAACACTCCCAATGCAATGCCAACCTTAAATGTTTAGCTATGCAAGTCAACACACTCCAAGTCAGACAGCCCTTTGTATATAAAACACAAAAGGCACCATTTTATCCATTATTCACCAGCTTTTAAGAAAGACAGAACTATGAATTCTGGACATTTGTTACAATCTCTAAGTTACCTATTTTAACCCACTAAATAACTTTTAGGGCTTACAATACAATTTTTCTGCAATCCTGAAAAGGCAGAGATTTCTTCATGTCAAAATGGACAAAGATGCATAAATAACAGATAAGGCTGCCTGAGCGGGTAGGGAGGGGGAAGAAAAACAAATCCTCTTCTACTTTCACATCCCAACACAATGAAAGTCTTCACCTTGTCACCACAGTGGCAGTCTGCCATGGGTATCACACGCAGGAGGACTTACCCAGAAAGTGCCTGCTGCCGCTAATTCACTCCTGGGTAAAATGTCCTCCCTTGCGTGATGCTGGAAGAAGCTGTGAGGAAAGGTCAAGAATTTTCCTCAGTCCACAGCCCTCAGCTGTGCAAAGTCTGCTTTTGCTGTCCTCAGCCGTTAGCCTCCAGTTCCCTTTTGCTCTAATGACTTTATTAAACAGCAGAAATGTTTCTTCTCGGTTGATTTAAGTAACATTAAAATCAAGTGTGAGTGAGTTCTTTGCTGTACCTAACTACTTGCTTTCAGTTGTTTGAAACAGCTGAAACAGAAATTTCACTTAAGGTAAGAATTCCTATACGAATCGTTCCCCATAGCAGGCAAGTGCCCAGGATGTAGTAGATGCTCAATAAATAGTTGAATTTTGTAGAAGTTCCCACAAAAGGCTTAGGGCTATCTCTGGAACTAGTTTAAAGGAAGGTTTTATTCATAAAGGCAATTCATCATTTGGTACAAGACTATTGCCACTATTACCAATTGTATACAAATACACCAGCCATTTTAATATAGTAAGTTGCTATGATTCTATAATCCCAAAAGCATTCAACAATTTTTATCATCTGTCGCCTCATCACTGTAGCTCCTGAAGCGTTTGTCATATCTGCCAGCTATAAAGAATTCAAAGCTAAGGCTAAGTCTTCTATAACAGCAGGTAAAACCTTTACCTTTAACTAGGGTTGATTCTAAATTACCTAAAACTTTTAGAGTATTGGTCAATTTCATTAGCAATGTTTGAATTCTAAATTGAATTCATTCTAGTTATAAAATATTTTATACTGAGGCACTGGGTTCCCAAGTATATTAAACTGTGAGAAAATATTTCAATATAGTTACATGATCTATTATCTCATTTTCAATACAGAGAAGCATACTTTCTACCCCCTAATAAAACACTAGTGAACGCCTCTTTCAAGAAGGCTTACCACAGGATAACTTGCAATTGGAGCGAAGTAAAACTTGTGCTATTAAAGAAAAAACAATCCCCGCTGCACAGATGGCGTAAATCTTCCACATGGCTTTACAGACTCGAAGCAGGAAATGTGTCTCGCTAGGAGGCACAGAACACACATTTTTACCCCTGGTGAATTTACTTGCAAAACTGATTACAAATGAAAATGCACTAGACCCTTAGGCACTGTACAAAGACTACCACACAATCAAATGTGAATGACTTTCAATGTTAAGAAATCTGCTATTTTCACTGGACAAATAGACTTCCTGCCTCCATCTACACATCAGTGACAAAACCCTGCTTGCTCCTCTCTCCTCCAAAAAGGGTTGGAGACACACACCCTGATTTTAGAGATGAGGTATACCTAAGCCTGAAAGGCACCCCTCGGGGCTGGTCTAAAACAACATGTTCGGGCAACCTTGGAACCTCTCTATCTGTTCAACAGCCAGGGGGCGATCTGAGCGGGGCAGCCCCCCACTCCCTCCCTCTCTTCAATAACCTAATGACATCATTTGAGCTGCACTGTAATCCACACCTCATGTCTGAAATAAGCAGACTGCAGCCCAGGACCTGTCAGCCTCTCTAACCACACACGTCTTTCCATAAGTCTGCTCAGGTGGCCTCGTTCAGACAAGATGACTGCGGTAAAGGTAACAGGGTGTTTTTTGTTTTTTCAATCTGAAAGGAATAAAGTGCTTATTTTTAGGTGCTCAGGAAGCTGTGAAAAGGAACGAAAGGCTGAGCAAATAACAATTTTACCTCATTAATCAGGGGGACTGCAGCGGGAGAGCCTCTCACGACCCAGCACTTGAAGAACAAAGCGGTGACTGCCACCAGATACTTAAGACACGCACAGGAACGGCGTGGCAAACTGGTGCAGAGAGAATTCTTAACATTTTCTGACAGCTCACGTCACACGGTAGAAAAACACATAACCCAAGAGGAAGTGAACAAGCTGAATATTAAAACTTGAGACCTTCTCCTTGCTTAAATATAATTTTACATGCTATGCCTAATTTGCTTTTTATAAGACGTTTAAAGTTTCTTTAAAACCCTAGTAACTGCTTGCATCTCAAGAGCGTGTTGCTATTTCGATGGTATCAATATGTATTTCTTTCTTAAGCCAAAAGATAGAATATATTTTTGCTGTGTCCTAAGAATGCTTTATTACATTTGAATCAGAATCCGGACGCAAAGCAGTTATATAAATGCTTGTTTCACCATTAAGCAAAAAAGGTACAAGATGTTAAGTAATTTTTTTTTTAATTTCGGAACTTGGGGCGCCTGGGTGGCTCAGTGGGTTAAGCCTCTGCCTTTGGCTCAGGTCGTGATCCCAGACTCCTGGGATCGAGTCCCGAATCGGGCTATCTGCTCAGCAGGGAGCCTGCTTCCTCCTCCTCTCTCTCTCTCTCTCTCTCTGCCTACTTGTGATCTCTCTCTGTCAAATAAGTAAAATCTTAAAAAATAAATAAATAAATAAATAAATTTTGGAACTTGCCTTATTACCATTCTTCATTAAGAATATAAAAAATGAGTTCAGTGTGTATTTTATTTTCCCTTACCAAACTGACGGGAGCCTTTACCAGAACGTGCCATCCCTCACCCTTACCCTGGACATGGCCAGCATTGTAAGGAGCCAGGAATGGGGGACATCGCAAGGGGTCTTCTGCTGTCCCCAGGGGCAGTGCACCCACAAGTGAGAACCTGCTACCAGATACATCACCAACAGTATAGCCAACTCTCAGTTTTTCAAGATAAATATACAGTCTTATCTATGGGTGTTTTTTTTTTTTTCCTTGTCATTTGGCCTTTGTAACTTCAAGGGTTTCTATCACAAAGTTCATGGGGAAAGAATGAAGAAAAAACCCACCCCACTCCATGTACTGGGCTTGACTAGAGCAGTCAAATGCTTGGACAGGAGTGGCAGCCTGAATGCCCAGCTTGCTTTATATTTTAGATCCTCTGTGGATTTCAACTTCTGGCTCTCCCCCCTTGCTACTGAAAATAAAAAGCCTACTTTCCCACCTTCTGGCCAAGTCAAAAAGGACCTTGAGCCTAGCAGAACGTCAACATGAATATCCAATATCATTTATCAAGTGTTAAGATTGTAATACATCCAAGGAGATGACAGTACAGCTGTGCTGTGGCAGAGAGAATTGGGGATTTAGAGCCAGAAACCCCGAATCCCAGCTCTCCTACTCAACAGTCTATAAGAACAGGGGCCAGCTGTGTCTTGTCCCACACTCAGCTTTCTCTACATGATCAAAGGAATAACATTAATTATCACATCATCAGGAATTGTCACCATGAAGGCAGATGATACAATGTATGTAAAAAAAAAAAAAACAAAAAAAACCCCAGAAAATGTAAAGAAGATGAGCAGATGCAGTTAATACAGTGTTGTCCTTGTAACTAATAGGATTACTGGGTAATTCTCTGGGCCAATTGGTGGTTAGACTAGCCTTCCAAAAGAAGGAGAGGAGCCCAGTGGCCTCACAGGCTCGCTTCCATCCAGCGATATGGACATCAAAGTCGCTAAAATCCTGCTGCCTCAACATCTTTTCAAACATTCAAGTTTAAGGATGGCTTGCCACAGAAACCCAACCGTGAAAGCCTCATAATATCTTTTAATTAAGTCTCAGGCTTCAATGACTCCAGATTCAGATTCATAGCAACGAATCAATGCATCCAGCTTTGGAAGGTTTGGTTTTAATGCTCCTAACAGGCTTTTTAGATTTGTAATTTTTAAAGACTTTTGACTTGAAATTCAAATATAAAAGCATTTGATAGATACCTGAAAAGATTATCTGACCCTGAGGCAAATAAGAAAGCAATAAACTAGATTATTCAAAATTACTAAACTAAAATCAGCAAACTTCTTTTTCATTTCTGTAAAATATGAAAAATACAACCAGGAATGGTCCCTATTTTACTGCTTTACAGTCACTTGAAAAATATTTCAAAAGAGAAAATATCACTACCACCACTGTTCTTAACATCAATATTATGAAAACAGTCACTACTCCCAAGTGCAGCTTCAGGATCAAATAAATCAATTTGAACACTTCTGTTGGCTGTTTTTAAAAAAAAAAAAAAAAAAGGCAGTCCCTTCATTCATTTCCTTTGATACTTTATAAGACATATCAAAAATTATCCCCAAATGCCCTTCCAGATTTAAAAAAAAAAAAGAGCAAAAGGATATTAACTCTATGTTAATTTTTGTGAATGATGAAAATTTTAACTTCTATATTGATTTTTAATAGTCTTTAGGACTCCCTTATATACTCAGTGCCTATATTAGACTGACTGAATAGGACTTGGCACCTTATGTGACTATTTTAGGTAAATATGAAGGTTTATAGTTACATACTTATATGATTCTGTACATCATCACCAGATTCTAATTGATGTTAGTATCTTAATATTTCAATCCCAAATTATACTATTTTTTATTTGGAAAACGTTCCCCTTTAAAGTATACTTTATAAGTACCATATTATCAAATAAATTATATAAATGAAATTCCCCCATAGCTCCAATCCCCTGAAAACGACAGCTGGCTTAGAAATCTCTTCTACATAAATATCACACTCTTGATGAAATCGACAGTCTTTTCATGGAAAAAAAAATTAAAATATATGCTAAAATTAGAAAATGCAAAAGACTGTCTAATTTTCAATTTCAGGAAAGTGCAGCTTGAAATAAGGCAAAAAAAAAGAAAGAAATTATGTCTACTTATATTTAGGACATGCTTTTTCTTTTACATTATCACCATAACTTAGTAGAATTCTGTAATAACACCAAAAAGTTGAATAAAAACAACATTCATTTGCATGCCAAGATCTTCTTAAGAAGGGACCGCTATGTATAAGCCACCTATTGCCTTTTCTGCAATATAATCCGCTCATAAGCAAATACGTATCTTTAAAAGTTCCAGTGTGTGCATCCACCATAATGTAAAAAGAAGGATTAGTCTTGGAGAAAACATCCTTTTTTTGGCATTCTCCCACCTTGAAATCCCCTCTAACATTCCTCATACAGTTCAGAGCCGGTGCATGGACATAAATAGGACATTGTTCTGCAAAATGCTTTGTTATTCATGCATCGTGTCCAAGATTGCCACAGCTGTGCTTTCCCATTTCCAATTTAAAACACTGTTCTGAACGGTATTCAGAAGGGCTAGGGCCACTCATATTTTGATACAAAACGGTCCCTTCTAATTGATCTTAGTTATTGAAGTGGTACGATGAGGAATACAAGCTAAATAACTGTTTTCATTCCAACAATGTATGTGTCGTTATCTCTTTCTTGAGTTTCTAGCTGGCTTGTACTTTTTTTTTTTTTTTTTAAAGGCAGTTGGGATTTTATAAGTTCAGGAAAAATGAGTAACACAAAACATACTTCTATCGCTGTGAAATTTCTTGCATGTTTTTACTGCGAAAAATATATCCTCTTTCTTCACTGGATTTCCCTAGAAAACAAGAAAACATATGTGTATATATGAGTCCGTGTCATATCAACACCCACATTCACACCCCTATTAGATCTCGCATGCCACAGAGGTGACCTTCACCAACGTCAAGGACATTAATCCTGTTTCCAGGATTAAGTTTCTGGGGAAACAGGAACTATAATTCAGCTGACAAGACCTCTGACGTCAGCCAGACCTGGGCCTGAATCCCAGCCCTGCCCTGTACTCACTGTGTCACCCAGACAATATTCTTCAGCTCTCAACTTCAGTCTGCTCATTTAGAAGATGGTCAGAATAGCCACCAGTGAAGCCACTTTCATTGCTACATTTATTCAGCACATTCTAACTGCCCAGTAAATGTTAGTCACCTTCCCTTTCTTTTTTCCAGCTGGTGAAGATTTTGACGGAGGGAGAGAACCAGTGGGCTATGTTCCTGTACAATAGGAGCTGACTCCCTCTTGGGGGGCTGGTCTCACTTTGATGTTGAAAGTATTTTTATGGCCCCTTTATTGTCTACCCAAGTCTAAGCTACAGCAACATTCTGTCTTCTGCCAAAGGGACAATTACTTCAAACACTTGGGTGCAAGGAAGGAGGGGCAATTATGGAGCCCTGAGCCAGCCCAGCCCCAGCTGGCCACTCAGATGAAAGGGACACATGGGGAGACTGTGGACAGCCTATATTCAAGGCCACGGATGGCTTCATGGGGTGTTCTGACCCCTTTATCAAATGTCTTAGGCCTTTAATAATATTTAATCATGACTCAAACATCATCTGGGGCCAGTTTATAGTGACATTTAAACACAGCTTTGTCATATTACTCAAGACACTAGGAGGCTGACCCCACCAGACCGCCGAAAAGAGCATTAAAGAACAAGCAAGCATCATGTCTAGAAAGACAGGATTTTCCCCTCAGGAACTGAGCAAACATTACAGATTCTCTTCCATTACTGCAATGTGTGGGTGTGTGTGTGCACACGCACACGTGTGTGTGTATACATATATTCATTTTTGAATATGCCACACATAGACTTCTGTGTGACTGCCTTCAGAAGAACAGACAACATTTGAGGGTGATGAATATGTTTTCTCTTCTGAGGAAGAACTGTTAACCTAGTGAGTTTCAGGGGTCTTCAGGCTCATCCTGGGAACTAGACCTAGGGTACACTGAAACCAGATCATTCTGAAAGTTCTGCTGGACAGTGGCAGATGAGATCAAATTAAGGTCTCCAGCTGAGAGGAGATGGGCTTGGGGAGAAGGCTTAAGTGTAGCAGAAAATGTCTGAAATCACCCTTCTAGGAAATGGAATAGATATTCCAGGAGACACATGCTGAATCATCAACAAGGGAAATGACTCCAGGCACACTGACTCGGAAGAGCTGTGGCAGGCAGTTCTGCACGGAGCCTCGGGAGTGAGTCGGTGCCCTCAGGGTCCTCACTGCCCCCCCCCCACTCACTGTGTGACCCTGAACAAGTACTTCTCAGTCCTTTCTCTTCTCATGTGTCAACTAGGATAACAACAGTACTCACCTGATAGGGCAGTTACTAGTAAGAAGTATGGTATCTACTTCTTACCTGACACATAAGTAGAAACTTAAAGTCCTAGGACAATATTATGCACAGCATGCAGATTTTCCTTTGATATGTAAGGAAGCCTTTCTTCTATACTTACGCAAAGAGGTAGAAAAGAATGGAAGGTGGTAGCACAGTAGGAGTCCACAGCCTCTGTACAAAACTCAGGCACTGGAGTAAGGGGAGGCCCATTGCCTTTGTCCCAGATATAGAGGGCAATCTGTCAGGACAGGAGCCGGCAACAAATGAAAGAACTTGGCCAACACCGCAAGTGTTAGAAGGTACAAAATATGTCAAGGAAAAGCAGACCATGTCTTCTACAGAGCACTAAGACTGAACCGAATCAATCTGACAATATTCAACAGATTTTTTTTTTTACATATAAAAATAGTAATTTCATGTGGATCAATATAATCTTTTATTAACAAGAATCCATATTCTTGTTCATATTCTGAACACCAAATAATTCCAAAGCTGTCATAAGCAATTTCAGGGAAGTGATTTTAGGGTTTCTAAAACATCGCAGTAGAAGATGAAAGAAATTATTACCATGAGGCTGGTTTTCTGCAGGATGGTAATTACACACCTTGACTAACAGCCTTGCTGGAAACATCTAAAACTGTTGGATAAAATATCTTTAAAATAATTTTAAATGGATTGCTAAATTTCCATAATAGTGTGGAACTTGTGAGGACAAAACTGCAAAAAGAAGAGCCTGGGGAAAATGGCATCAAGGGTAGTATCCCTCAGTAGGTAGATGGTAAACTGTGGTGATGCTGAGTTTCTGACAGGAGTTAAGAAAATAAAGCCCAAGACTCACCCAAGGCGGAGAGTGTTTAAGAGCAAACCCCACATAAATCTGGGACGTTGGAACTAGATGGAGGGGGAAAATATCATCTCCAAATCTCCTCTGAGATTTTGTAATCAAAACCCAGGCCTCCCTAATGTGTGCCACTAATGTGGTCCAAAACACTTCAAACAGTTATTTAAAATGGTCCCAAGTTAGTATAATCCTGTAGCAGTAGGAAAAACAAATGCAAATCCTTCCACCTTAATGTAGGACTCAGAAGATTAGCACAGATACAGTTTGAAGCAAGACTACTCAGAGAAAAATCACAAAAAGCACAGGGACGTGAGCTGATCACCAAGAACCAGCAGACACTACATCATCAGACCCAAAAGTCTGCAGGTCTTGGAATTATCAAACACAGGTTATAAAATTACTATGTTTAATACATTTTCATAAAGAGAAAACATTCAAACATAAGCAAATTTTTAAAAATTATATAAAATAAACAAATTTGAAAAGAAGGAGTTAAACTTCTAAAAATAAAAAACATTAAAGAAAAATTTAATGATTAGGATAAGCAGAGTATTAGACACCGGTGAATAAAAAATCAGGGAATTAAAAGATGAAAGTCCCCCAATTATCTGAAATGTAGCACAGCAGAAACAGAGATGGGAAAAGTAAAAGAAAAATTCAGAGTGCTGGCACACATCTACACATCCAGGAGGAGATAACAGAAAGAATGAGGGTGAGAACATGCTTGAAAAAAAAATGGCTGAGAATTTCCAAAAATTACATAACAATCCTATTATAGAAAGGGTCAATGAATCCCATGTAGGATGTAAAAAAAAAAAAAAAAAATGTCAGCACCTAGACATCTCATAGTGAAACTGCAGAATATCAAAGACAAATAGTCTTTTTCTTTTTTTTTTAAAGATTTTATTTATTTATTTGACAGAGAGAGATCACAAGCAGGCAGAGAGGCAGGTAGAGAGAGAGGAGGAAGCAGGCTCCCTGCTGAGCAGAGAGCCCAATGCGGGGCTCAATCCCAGGACCCTGAGATCATGACCTGAGCCCAAGGCAGCAGCTTAACCCACTGAGCCACCCAGGCGCCCCCAAAGACAAATAGTCTTAAAGGCAAGCAGAAAGAAAGATTACCTACAAAGAAGCCACATGAGACTGATGCTGATTTCCCAACACCACAGCAGTAACAGAAACCAGAACAGTGTAGTAAAGCCAGAGTGATGACAGAAAATGATGGACAACCCAGAATTTTAAACACAAGGTAACTATGTTTAAAGAACAAAGTCAACACAAATTTTTTTTTTTTAAAGATTTTATTTATTTATTTGACAGAGAGATCACAAGCAGGCAGAGAGGCAGGCAGAGAGAGGGGAGGAAGCAGGCTCCCCTAGAGAGCAGAGAGCCCGATGCGGGGCTCGATCCCAGGACTCTGAGATCATGACCTGAGCCGAAGGCAGCGGCTTAACCCACTGAGCCACCCAGGCGCCCCCAATACAAATTTTTTAAAGGGAAAAAATTGAGAATGTACCACCCCACTGAAGGAAACACTAAAGGGATGTGCCTCAGAAGAATAAAAATGATCCCACCAGGGTGCAGCTGCCCTGGAAAACAGTATGGAGGCCCCTCAAAAAGTTAAAAACAGAGCTACCCTACAACCCAGCAATAGCAATACTCGGTATTTATCCAAAAGATACAAATATAGTGATTTAAAGGGGCACCTGCACCCCAAGGTTTATAGCAGCAATGTCCACAATAGCCAAACTCTGGAAAGAGCCCAGATGTCCATCGAAAGATGAATGGATAAAGATGATGGTATATCGGGGCGCCTGGGTGGCTCAGTGGGTTAAAGCCTCTGCCTTCGGCTCAGGTCATGATCCCAGAGTCCTGGGATCGAGCCCCACATCAGGCTCTCTGCTCAGCAGGGAGCCTGCTTCCCTCTCTCTCTCTGCCTGCTTCTCTGCCTACTTGTGATCTCTCTCTCTGTCAAATAAATAAATAAAATCTTTAAAACAAAAAAAAAAGATGATGGTATATATACACAATGGAATACTACTCAGCCATCAAAAGGAATGAACTCTTACAATTTGCAGTGACATCGATTGAACTAGAGAGCATTATGCTAAGGAAATAGGTCAATCAGAGAAAGACAATTATCATATGATTTCACTCAAATGTGGAATTTAAGAAATAAAACATGAACACAGGGGAAGGGAAGAAAAAATAAAATAAGACTAAATCAGAGAGGGAGACAAACCATAAGACACTCTGAACTCTAGGAAACAAACTGAGGGTTGCTGGAGGGGAGGTGGGTAGGAGATGGGTAACTGGGTGACAGATATTAAGGAGGGCACTTGATGGAATGAGCACTGGGTATGATATGCAATTGATGAATCACTGAACATTACCCCTGAAACTAATAATACACTATATGTTAATTAATTGAATTTAAATTTTTAAAATGTAAAAAAAAAAAAAAAAAAAAAAAAGATCCCGCCTGGCAGGTCTTTGAAGTAAGATGGGATACTGAGCAAAGGCACTGGCAAATACATGGTGAAGCTATTACAAATACGAATTGCATAAAATAAAGATAATATTTAAGTTGCAGGGTTTAGGAAAAGAACAAAAGTACTAAATAACAAGGAGCATTTAAATTGGTAAGGGGAGGGGCGCCTGGGTGGCTCAGCAATTGAGCATCTATCTTCAGCTCAGGTCATGATCCCAGAGTCCCTGACTGGAGTCCCAGGATCAAGTCCCACATGGGGAATCCCCACTCAGTGGGGAGTTCTTCTCCCTCTGACCCTCCCACTTCTTGTGGTTTCTCTCTCTCACTCGCTCTTTCAAATAAATAAATAAAATCTTTTAAAAAAAATTGGGGAGGGAATAATCAGAGTTCAATTATTCTAAGTCCCTTGAATTTAGGCCATGAACTACTTAGCCTTTGTTAGGTTAAGAATGCATGTTAAAATATTTAAAAATAGGGACGCCTGGGTGGCTCAGTTGGTTGGACGACTGCCTTCGGCTCAGGTCATGATCCTGGAGTTCCGGGATCGAGTCCCTCATCAGGCTCCCAGCTCCAAGGGAAGTCTGCTTCTCCTTCTGACCTTCTCCTTGCTCATGCTCTCTCTCACTGTCTCTCTCTCAAATAAATAAATAAAATCTTAAAAAATATATTTAAAAATAACCAGTAAGGTACAGAAATGAAGACCGAATTTCCAAAACAGCAGAGGAGGAAAAAATGGAAAAAGAAAGAACAAAAAACAATCTATATAGAAAGTAAGGAAGTGTTTAAAGGAGCCAGAGAGAAAATAAGGAGAAGGATAAAATGAAGTATTAGAAATCAATTCAAATATAAAGGTAATCATGTTCAATGTAAGTGTAAATTTGCTACCTGGTTTAAAGACAAAGACTGGCAGACTGGGAGGAAAAGAGCAGCACATCTAAAAGAGGACACAAAGGGGCTATAAGAAAAAGATGAGAGACAATTAAAAAGCAAACCTGAAAAGAAAGCCGGTATAAAAACAGTCACAGCAACAAAATACATGTTAGGGCAAAGAGCATGACAAGAAATAAAGATGAATTCATAAGAAGACTTAAGGATTCTAAACTTGTATGCAATTAATTAACATAGTCTCAGAGGGAAAAAAGCAAGAGTTGGCAGTTACAAGAGGAGATATTATCAAATGCACCATTATTATGGAAGATTTTCCCATTCCTCTCTTAATAAATGATAGATCAAGCAGACAAAAGAAGAAGGATGGGAGGGAGGAGGGAAGGAAAGAAAGAAGGGAGGAAGATAGATTAATTTATTATATTCAATCTATTTCTTCCTTAATCTCATAAAGAGAATACTATACCCCCCAAATTATAGCATATACATCTTTTCCTCCATTTATGAAGAGTAAACATGAACCAGGCCACAAAATAAGCCTAAAAACATTTCTAACAATTGTTATATAGACCATACTAATGCTAAACTAGAAATCAGTAATACAATAACACACACAAATATACTGGCTCGCAATGAAAAATGTATTTTTTAAAGTGGGTCACAGTAAAAAAAAAAAAAAAAAAATAGTTTAAAAGCCTCTGCCCTAGAGAAATCCCTGCCCAGGATCATCATGACACACGTCCACAAAACGCAGAGAAGTAATGAGTGTAATAGCAGAAAACGCAGAGCGGTGCAGAAGCAGCCCACCACCAGAGAACAGGTAAGCTAACTGCTCTGGTCTCTGGAGAGACTCCTGCTCGGAGTGGAAAAAAGTTCATCAGAACTGCCGCACATATCCACATGGATGAGTTTCAAGTCAGAACAATACCCATGATACACTTTTGTTTATCCGAAGTCCCAAAAGGGTGAAAAACTGCATACTGTCTTATTCGGAGGCACAGTCATATGCTGTGGAAGAGGAAGAAAGGAAGAGAGAATTCAAGAAAGTGTTTACTAGAAAGAATGAAAGGAATACAGAAGTGTCACAGTCAGGGAGCTTCAAAGTGACTGGTGATGTTCTAGCTTTTTAAACCAGGTGGTGATTACATAGATATTTTGACCTATCCTCATACTTTCCACATACATTAGAAACAGTTTTTGTAGGTATTTAGTGTTTAATAGATTCCTGAGCCCAAGTATCTATACCAAAGTTAACTCTTCATTAAAACTATCTAAGTAGACCTGAGCTTTCAATTAGTCGTTCTTTCCTTTCTATGGAACAGAAGAACAGTTTTTTACATGTGTATTTCTCCCCCAATAAGCTTTTTCATCACATGCCATCAGCCAAGAAGGTAAAGCCTTGTGCGTGCCCTTTTCGCTACTGGTATGCTGCCAGCACTCCTGGCCTGAGTGACATGTCAAGACTGACCCCACTGCCCTAAGATTCAGGTTCCCGAAGAGTGAAAGGTGACAATGTTCCAGTCCGATGTGCCTGTGAATGAAACCCACGAAGAAACCTTCTTAACAATGATCCACCTAAAGATACAAATGTAGTGATCCAAAGGGGCACATGCACCCGAATGTTTATAGCAGCAATGTCCACAATAGCCACACTATGGAATGAACCTAGATGTCCATCAACAGATGAATGGATAAAGAAGATGTGGTATACATATACAATGGAATATTATGTAGCCATCAAAAGAAATGAGAGCTTGCCATTTGCAACAACGTGGATGGAACTAGAGAGTATTAGGCTGAGGGACATAAGTCAATCAGAGAAAGACAATTATCATAAGATCTCCCTGATATGAGGAATTTGTGAGGCAAAGTGGGGGGTTTAGGGGGTAGGGAAGGAAAAAATGAAACAAGATGGGATCTGGAAGGAGACAAACGTAAGAGTCTCTTAAGCTCACAAAACAAACTGAGGGTTGCCGGGGGTCGGGGGGCAGTATGGAGAGGGTGGTTGGGTTATGGACATTGGAGAGGGTATGTGCTATGGTGAGTGCTGTGAAGTGTGTAAGCCTGAAGATTCACAGACCTGTACACCTGGGGCAAATAATACATTATATGTTAATTTAAAAAAAATAACAATGATCCAGGAATGATTAAAGCCTCCAGGATGATTGGTCACTAAATGCCCAGGGATGCTGGGGTTCCAACTAGCATGCCACGCACAGCTGCCTGCTTGGGACCAACTGGCTCAGTTCTGCCCCAGAGGGCCAAGGACAGAGACATGACCACGGCATTGTACAGCCAAAGTACCAAATAAGAGCAAAGGTGCTTTGATGGCAGTTTTGCATGTGTTTAGAAATCCACCTTTGCACCCATCCACCTAGCTTTAAAAAAAAAAAAAAATCAAGAATCACAGAGGAGAATCGAGAATCTTTTTCACTGCTCCTTCTCCACCTACATGATAAAAATGAGCTTTACAGAGAAAGACCTAATTTACTGGAGAAGAATTACCTTGGTGGGGAGAAAAGACACAGAAGCATTGGGTGGGGAGGGGTATGCTGTCAGGGAATAAAAAACACCTTTTACATTAAAACACATGAAGTCTTGATTACTGAGACTTTTAGCAAAGAAACAATGACGTACCTCATGTTTTAAATCTATCGTAAAGTCGGACTTCAGGGATTCACTCTTTAACCTCTTGGTAAGCCTAGAAAATAGATAAAATTTGAGGGTTTCTTTTTTATTAATCAGAGGAAGCATCGAACAAGAATAACACATTGAGACTTTCTAATGTTTGAAAACCGATTACGAGCACACATTTTAAGATAAAATTAAGAGTTTCACATTTCCTTGAGGCAAAGCACTGTGAAAATGGAATTATTTGTTGAGTAGGAAATGAATGCAAGCCTTTTTGCAAATGCAGCATTCATTGTTTAAACATCTGGCAAATACGATAAAATACAATAGAAAAAATTAAATGTCTTGTGTAAAACAAAGCCACAAAGCTTGTTGACTCCCAGTAAGTGTATTGACTCCTGATACAGAAAGAAGACAGAAAAGAAAAAAAAAGCTTGCATGATAGAGAAACAAAAGTTGCTACTTTTCAGTCTCCTGCTTTTAATAATCCAAATGAACTCCAGCTTGTGGAGTTTTTAGGGGAAGAGAGCATATGGTTTCCGGAAAGAAAAAAAAAAAATTTCAAGTCCTTCTCTTAAGGAAATCTTCAGCGGCTCCTTTCAGTGCAGAGGAGAGCCCCATCGTTCCCTTCTATTGCCCCCTAGCTTCTCCACACTTGCCCATGACACCCACAGCATACACCTGCCAGCTGTTTTCTCTAGCTCTACCTCTGCCTAGCACACCCACACCCAACCTTCACCTGGCAAACCTTTCTTCAAGGTCCAACTCAAGGGCACCTTTTCTGTGGAACTTTCCCAGACTTGCCCACCAGCACAGATGGAAATCCTTTGCTCCCGGAATAGGAAGCAAGCTCTCTTAACCTTATCACACATGTCCCATCCTATTGTACATCCGTCCCTCTCTGTGCTACAGCTTTTTTGTATCACCAGCATGGCCCACTGTGCCTGGCCACAAGGAGCACTCAGGGAGCTGCCTGAATGAATGAGAGCAAGATATTCTTTGGTTCCAAGATTACATATGTAATATATAGAATTACATATTTACCCAGACTGCTGAAATACCACATGGTTCTCTGTCACAGGGCTAGAGAGTAGAACATCGGTTTCAATTACAAACCCCCAATGTGTATTTTAACTACAAAGATACAATAGTGATTACAAAAGGAAAAGTAAAAAGTTTCAAAACTCTGAGTTTTTGGCCCAGTTGAACCACAAAGTTTTTTTTTTTTTTTTTAAAGATTTTATTTATTTACTTGACAGACAGAGATTACAAGTAGGCAGAGAGGTAAGCAGAGAGAGAGGAAGAAGCAGGCTCCCCGCGGAGCAGAGAGCCCAATGTGGGGCTCGATCCCAGGACCCTGGGACCATGACCTGAGCCGAAGGCAGAGGCTTTAACCCACTGAGCCACCCAGGCGCCCCAGGTTTCTTTTTTTAAATTATATTTATTTATTTTAGGGAAAGACGGCACGAGCAGGAGGGGCAGAAAGAGAGAGAGAGAATCTCAGGCAGACTCCACTCTGAGCACGGAGCCCAAAGTGGGGCTCGATCCCAAGACCCTGAGATCATGACCTGAGCCGAAACCAAGATTCAGATGCTTAACTAACTACACCACCCAGGTGCCCCAAGATTTCCTTAAAAATTTACCTTTAATTATAGGAAAGAAAAAAGGACACAGGTTATAATTTATGTTTAGTATTAAAGCATTTGTCTTGGGGTAGATATTAGTATGGCTTGGTGGCAGGTAACTCCAAACAGGCCACATAATCTAATGTAATCTCGGTCACATTCCTGCTCAATACCTGCCCTCAGCTTTGTCGGGAGGAGTGGGTGAGGATGCACAGAGATACATACATGTTCCCGGACACTCTGCCAATATGTACTAACAGAAAAAAGCCTGCCCTGGCATGAATTCTCGTCCAGGTTGCAGTCTGCTCAGTTAGAGCTGGTTTTTGTAAATAAACAATTATCAAGGTAACTTTGGAATCTGGACTCAAGCCAAGGGCCTTCAAAATCCAGTCAGACCACATTCAGATTCTGAAGACAGAAAAAGTCAGACCTGGGTTTCCTGCCATAGGCAAGGGACACACAGTTGGGCTGGTAACCTAATAGCAAGTGACGCCCATTGTTAGATGGCTATGTATCACAGGTCCCTTCTTCCTAGACAATAAAATATCTCTGACCTGTTGCCCTAAACATGCTCTCTGCTTTTTTGACTTTTTAAGTTTCTTTCTCATTCAACTCTTGAAAATTTATATTTGGGGGAAACCTCAGATGGACAAAACAGAAGAACACTGAATTTCTTTAAGGTGGACAATGACTAATTTGAGGACATACAGATACACACTGGAATTTTTAAGTGGCTATTTCTAGCAGCGCATGCTGTCTACCATAACCTTAAGTGATGGTTACCTAGGCATCACGGAGATCATAAATCAACCTCACTGACACCCAGAGCCTAACCCAGTCACCTTGCAAATGTGTATCTAGTTCTAAAAGTGTGCAAGGCATTCACCTAATTCAAAAGGTAAGTCCTAAAAGTGGAAACTAGGTTTCACTTTTCTATACAACAAGACAGCACAAGAGTTTTCCAAATGTGAATTTCAGTAACCAACAATGCAAAAAACAAACAAACCACAAAAAGCAATTAAGTTCAGAAATTCCAATTACTTAGATAAAATATTTCCTCATTAAATATTCAGTTCCTGGCAAATATGACGTTTGATATTCAGCTTACCTATTTTTAGAATGCCAAGTCATGTCCCAATAACACAACTCTAAAGACACAACCAGTGAGACTGGAAACTTGCAACAGAAGGGGGCCCCATCACCTCTATATTAGGAGAAGTTCCTAGCTGACTTTAACAGTCCCATTTGTGAGCTAGTCAGAGGAGCAAAATATTGGAGGAAATCTAGGTAAGTTTTACTGGTGGAAAAACAAAAGAATAAACTGGTAACATCAACCTATTTGAAGAGATCATGTTATTGGAAATTTCTCCAAAAATGCAAGTATGTTCTTTTATTGACACTATTGTTAGATCACAAAGATGGATCACCAGGAAATGTTAGGTGATGTTAATTCAAAACTCACTTATGTGGGATTGCTAGGGTAAATAATGTTTTTGGTAGGACATGGTCTTAAAAAGTGTGTGTTGTGAAATGTTTTTAAGTAACCAGTTTTTCTGATGACCTGAGCAGGAGAAATACTTAAGTAACTGTAAACAGTTGCCCTACCGAGTGGGCCATAAAATCAAGGAAGGGAGGCAAAGGGAATCATCACTTCTGTAGTGGGCGCTGTAGACCTCCTACTCAATACAGAGCTTCCCCTTCCTTCTTCCTCAGAGACTTCTAATTACTGAGCCCAATAAATGGGCTGCAGGGTCAGAATTAGTTTAATCCCAACCAAAGCACTGAAATTCCCTGCATCGTTAATGGTCTGAAGTTGACCCAATCTACTTCAATCAGATGATATCCATCCAACTGCAGACTGAAGATAACCACTTATATTCCAATGGTTGGAGAGGTTCTCCACTGCTGAACATAAACAAACATAAACAAGTAGCGCTTTTGGCCTTGAATCACAAGAGGAACCAGATTTAAGATGAGCTGCTGCTGTATGTGGTTTCAGGAGGCTGTGTACTGCGCATGAGAGAGAAGGAGAATCAGCATCCTCAGTAACAGGGCTGAACTCCTACATTAACCAACACAGGCCTCACCTTCCAATTACAGTTATAATATTTCCTTAATCTGATATGCGAACTCATATAGTCTCTAATAGCAGGAGGAAATAGCACATTAGCTTTGGAACTGGGAAAAACCAACTGGGAAGATCAAATTTTGCAGCCAGTAGGGCTAATTGATACTTTATGCTGGTGATAATACCAGTTTCTTGAAGAATATATAGAATCTCCTATGAGAAAACCATTTTTAAGTAGCTCTTGGCCATAACAGAATTGCTATGCTAAATGGGTTACATTATTTTGATTACTTGTGTTCATCACAAGGAAAAGGATCCGCACTGGAATTTTTAAGTGGCTTACGGTATCAGGTCACCAGAATTTTGATTTTGGTACTCTGGTAGAGCCTCCATTTTCATTGTTTTGTTTTTGCTGGCAGGGGAAAGGTAGGAGAGGCACAGAGAAGACCACAGATATTAATCAACTACAAACATCATGCAGCTTGTAGGCAATCATTCAGTGTTATGGAAGCAAAGGACACTGAATGCAGAAGGTCACCTGGTGCCTTATCCCTCTATTTATGGGGCAACTGTTGGAAATTTTTGGAACGTGTACAAAAGATTAGTCTTTTGGCCCCAATTCCCTTATGTAGTTCCTTACATACCCTACTGCAGGGACATGAGGCCCTCGGTCATCTCCCACGTCTGGGCAGAAAACATTGCTCGACCAGAGAGGAAGTAAACGGCACTTGTCAATAGGTGTTTCCAATGACTTCGTAAAGACAACAGAAGAGAAGCAGGCACCAGTATGATGGCCATTACAGAAGGCCAAGTTATCCCTCACACAGCACCCCCTTAAGATGAGTATCTTGGCTAGTGCAGAGCCTGCAGCCCCAGTTCACAAAGCCCCCAGCAGTTACTTGCACGGTGAGCATGCGATAGTTAGAAGACGAGCACAAACCAGAGCCATCAGAACCTGCCAGGGGGGTAGGAAAAGAATAAATGAAACAAGATGGGATTGGGAGGGAGACAAACCATAAGTGACTCTTAATCTCACAAAACAAACTGAGGGATTGGAAAACAAACTGGGGGGAGGAGGGTTGGGAGAGGGTGGTTGGGTTATGGACATTGGGGACATTGGGGACGGTATGTGCTATGGTGAGTGCTGTGAAATGTGAAATGTGTAAATCTGGCGATTCACAGACCTATACCCCTGGGGATATAAATACATTATATGTTTATAAAAAATTTTAAAAAATTAATTAAAAAAAAGTAAGTCGAAAGGAAAACAATAATTAAGTTCTTATTACACCAAACTCAGTAAAAAGTGAATTGCCTCCAGCATCCAGGGGCCTCCAAGGTCCTTGCTAGATGGGGGATGGAAAGAAGTGAAACTCTCTAAACTACAGGACTCGTCTCCTGGATGAGTGGCCTCCTGGATTGGGAGGGAAGGATGGAAAAGGGAGTTCTACTGGCTTCAGAGAGATGGTTATATTCCAGGCTTGCTGTACAGGGTCTTTGCAGGGTAGTGGGTTTCTCTTTAGCCTTGGGGGAAGAAGGTGGCGTCTGTGCTCAAGAGTACTGCCCAGGACAAGTTACAGCTGTGCTTGTCCCTCTGTCCAGGGACCTGGGTCTCCAGGAAACAGAAGACAAACAGACTTAGGAAAAGCTTCTAACTCCCAAGTCAGAGAAGCCATAGCCACCGGAACTTGTGTAGAGGAGTCAGTCCACATAATTCCAGGCTATCAAGCTAAGTACAGAGAGTGAGGACAGAGGAGAGGAAGGCTACCGCCAGGTGAAGAATCTGAAAGACGCAGGGAAGAGCTCTGGGGCTGGGATGTGCCGTCCACAGCTCTGGAGAGTCCAGACTGAACACAGGTAGCCAAACAGGACCCAAACACCAGGCTGCTGGACACAGCGGGAAAAGAGTGTCCTGGGGGCTCACAGTCACCAAGCTACAGCAAACCCAAACGTAATTCGTTTGAGAGTAAAGATGACCCAGGACAGCTGAAACAGAATTCTCTTCCCCGTATCCTGCTGAGAGCAGAGCCAGACAGTGCAGGGTAAGAAGGGAATGACAACTTTCTCTTCTTGTTCCCCTTTCTCTCCTGCCCATCCCTTTCTGAGAACAGAGCAGGGAACATGTGTGGGACCTGCTAGGCATGTCTGGCACAGGCTGGGGGCAGAGTATCTTTGCCCGGTATTCTCAGGACGGGTCCATCGGTCACACATTTTAGTTGGAGATAACAGAATCCACTCTGGCCAGTTTAAGCACAAAGGACACTTATTAGTGAATACAGATGGCTCACAGAATTACTGGAAAGTCTGAATAAAGAGACTGCAGGCTGAGATTCCAAGAACCTCCAACTGACACTACAGAGATGGGTAGCTGAGGAGCTATGGCCTCCATCACCATCAGGAAGCTGCCATGTCAGGATGCTACTGTCTCAGCTGCCAGCCTTCAAATGACCCCTCCTCTATCATGACCTCCCAAGCCAAATGGACCATGGTCTCACTGTCTCCTCTCCACAGAACTCCATTCCCAAAAGATTTTACACAGCACATCAACCTAATGGAGCCCACCTCACGGAGCTGCTGTCTAGTAGGAAGGAAGGCAATACAACATGGAGGTGGTGTTGTTGAGCCTTTCTGGATTCTCCATCGGAAAGGAGGGTCTTACGCTGTAAAAATTTTCAAATGTCAAAAAGTGTTGGCCAGCCACAAAAAAACAAGGTACTACTATCTGTCTAAAAAGCTTTCCAAGACTCAAAACCCCAAGACTCAAAACCCTAGAAACAGCACACCTAATGTGAGAAAAAACAGACACCCTTCCATCTTTGAAGATACAAAGGCCACAATTGCTTTATCAACTTTCCATTCCCTAAAGAACAAAAACTCATCATAATTAATCTGAGAAACTTGAATCAAGAGCCTGTCAACAATCCTATTTCTCCTGAGTTACAACTTAATTACCTTTACTTTTCACGTTGAAAAAAGCACTACTGCAATTGCACACATAAATAGCTAGGCACAGACGTGTACAGCTCTAGTAACTGTCCCTGCTGCCTGGCCCGTGTGAACGTGTGGACCCATGTACATAATTTGTCATCAACTCCCACCCCACTCCCACTCCCTGGGCACGTCACAGACCTGATTTCTTACTGACGATCAAAGTCATACCTATAGTTAACCAGATCCATGAAAACAGTAATAACTCTTGTGGATGCAGAATTCTCAGAGCACTTATGTGCCCTCCCTTAGGCTCACAATTTGTTATTCACCTTATTTTGCAGGTGAGGAAGAGGAAATAGAGAACAGATGAGTAATCAGTCTGAGGGGACAAGTACGTGACAGAGCAGAAGCAAGCCTCTCAGGTACTGGCTCTGTTCCAGATCTTCCCATCCCATCACACACTGCCTCCAGTGCAAAACTCACCTGAGATCAGTTACTACCGTTCACTCAGTGAACTAAACGGTGATCCGAGCACACACACACACACACATGCATACACACACAAAGTCTAATAAATTCTTACTTGTTTACAAGTGGAATACTAAGGGCCCAGCCAGCAGCAAAGTCTGGATATTTAAAAATCGTAGGATTTTCAGAAAAGGCATAATGGTGAATTATTGTAGATTCTTCGTCATGTAATGCTTTTCCTAAAAACCATTCCTGTTAAATAAAGATATAAAACATCATTCTGTTATAAAGAAGATGTAGTGTATATATACATATATGTGTATATATATATACATACATACATACATACAATGAAGTATTACACAGCCATCAAAAAAGAATGAAATCTTACCATTTTCTACAACATAGATGGAACTAGAGGATATTATACTAAACAAAATAAGTCAAAGAAAGACAATTATCATATGATCTCACTCATATGTGGAATTTGGATCAAAGGGGAAGGAAGAGAAAAATAAAATACAACAAAATCAGAGAGGGAGACAAACCATAAGTGACTCCTAATTATAGGAAACAAACTGAGGGTTGCTGGAGGGGAGGAGTTGGGGGAAAGAGTAACTGAGTGATGGGCATTAAGGAGGGAACGTGATGTGATGAGCACTGGGTGTTATAGAATACTAATGAATCACTGAACACTACCTCTGAAATTAATAATACACTATATTAATTAATTGATTTAAATAAAGTAAAATGTATTTCAAATGTACATCCAAAAAATTAAAAATTAAAAATAAATAAAATGTCCTTTTCTTAAAAAGCCATTTCATATAAGGCCAAAAACAAAGCCATAATCACTAATTCTAGTTAATTAAGTATTCTGGGTGATACAGAATTAGCATAGATTATTACTTTCTAAAGAATTTTAACAAAAACATAATTAATGCTCTGTGATAATGAACATGGCATAATCCTCACAAAGACAGTAATTTAGTATATCAGCAGGATAAACAAAATGTTAGTCATTATGCCATAAACATATAAAAGTGGTATTTTACAGAAAATTCTTTATCAAAATACTATTAAGGTAAAGAAAACAGTGTTCCGGGGCACCTGGGTGGCTCAGTGGGTTAAGCCTCTGCCTTCAGCTCAGGTCATGGTTATCAGGGTCCTAGGATGGAGCCCCACATTGGGCTCTCTGCTCAGCCAGGAGCCTACTTCCCCTCTGCTTGCCTCTCTGCCTACTTGTCAAATAAATAAATAAATAAATAAATAAATAAATAAAAATAAAGACGAGAAAACAGTGTTCCTTTATGCCCTACTGAGGTTTTCAAAGAAGAATCTGAAAAATTCCTTCCAGAATTAGTGCCTATTTTATTCATTTATTCATTCACTCAAATTAACATTTATTATTATCAATTAACATTTGTCATTTATTCCATAGCAGGCGGGAACACAGCTTACATAATAGTGGGGAAACAGAAAATAAGTAAAGTAGGGTCAGATGGTGACTGCATTGTAGTAGGATGAAAATAAAACAGAGCGCCTGGGGACTTCCCTGGAAAGAGAGAAAAACCTCTCATGAGCTAACAACTGAATTAAGAATAAGTAATACCAAGGGGCCAGCTATGCACAAATCTGGGGAAGAACAATCAAGGCAGTTACTACCACGTCCCATGGTGAGAACAAGCTTGATGCATTTGATGAAAAAGGAAGTCCAGTGTGCTAGAATATACTGGATAGGGGGAGACAACAAAAGAGACAGGCAGGAGATAGCCCAGGGTGGATTTCAGATGACAGCGGGAAGCAATGCAGACTTACTCCAAGTGTAGTCTAAGGCTTCCACTTCCAGCCACAACATATCTCCCACTGAGAACAAATGTGAATGCTGGAGAAAATACTTAAACCAAATAATTGAGGACCTCAGAAAACAAAGACAGATAGTAGATGAGGGTGAACATCCAAGAGAGAAGGGAAGCATATTCACAGGAACCCTGTAGTCACCTCCTTTTATCCCTCAAGCCTTTTGCCCATAACAGAGAATGGCACACAACAGAAAGCAGCAGCTGGGACCCTGCAGCCTTGCTGGACTAAGAAAGGGGTTGGAGCTGGAGGCTGCCAAGAAGGTAGAGATTTAAGCAGATACAGAAAAGTGAACCCCAAATTCCGCATGTGATTTCCCTTCAACTCCTATGTTGAAAAAAAAAAAAAAAAAAAAGAAAAAAGAAAGAAAGAAAAAGAAAACAAGAAAAGAACCAAGAGCCAAGTGTGTAAAGCAGCAGTAAAGAGGCTAATTGCCGACCAAAGGCTCCAGCAGTGGTGCTGGAGAGTCCAAGGCCCAGATGCAGGGTCTGCTGGAAGACAGGGGTCTAGAAGGGCGGGCAGTCTGTAAATAGACCTACCCCAACCAGGTGTACAACCCAGAAGAATATTAAATCCTCCTGTACATAGGGATATCATCCACATCTTTGGTTTTTCACACAAAATATCTGGAATTTAGTGAAAAATTACCAGGCACGCCAAGAAACAGCACCAGAACAAAAACAAAGAGAAAAATGCGAAATAAAGATGCACAGATAAGTCAAATACCAGTTATCAAAAAAAATAAGTATTGTTCATATATTTAAGGAAATGGATGAAAAGATGAAGAATTTTACCAAAAAGCTAGAATAATAAACAGAAGTCAGATGGAAATTCTAAAACTGACCAAGGCAATAACTGAAGTCAGGAATCCAAGAGGATATTAGACACAAGAGAAGGAAGGATCAGTAACGTGGAAGGTAGTAAGTCAATAAAAAATAGTTAGTTTGATGCACAAAAAAGAAAACAAAGGGAAGAAAATACAGAAAAGAGAATAAAAGCAATATGAGAAACAGTGAGAAAGTCTAAAACACATGAAATTGGAAGGCCAGAATAGGAGGAGAAAGAGAATGGAACTGAACCAATATTTGAAGAAACAGTCTTAGAATCTTCTGAAACTAACAAAAGTCATCAAGCCATAGATTCAAGAAGCCCTATAAACACCGGTAAAGTACTAAGGAAACCACATAGAGGCATATGTTGATTGAAAAGACCAAAGTTAGAGAAAACCTTAAGAGTAGCTTGAGAGGAGATGGGTTAGGATTAGGAACTAAAACATACAGTTGAATTTTCAATGGAAACAACAGGATGTAAAAGACAATGGAACAACATCTTTACCGTGATAGAAGAAAATTACTGCCCACCTAAAATGCTGAATCTAGTGAAACTATCTGAGCTGCAGTCGGAAATCAGTGGGAATTTCTGAACAGGTAAGTGATAGGATCTGAATTACCAAGAGGATAGATTATTAGGATGGCAAGAGTAGAAAACAGGAGACCAGCAAGGAGACTCTAATAATTGTCAAGGCAAGATATGATGGTAGTCTGGACCAGAGTAGCAGTTTTAAACATGGAGACAGGATGGAAGATGATGTATTTTGGAAGTAGTCTCAGTGGGATATGCCAACACATGGTTGAGGGAAAAGGAGGAATCCGTCATGAGTCCTAGGTTTTCTTATATGAGTCATTGGATAGGCCATAATGCCATTTCTGGATGAGGAAGATTGAAGATGGGAGAGGTTTAAAAGGGGCATTAAGAGGGGCACCTGGGTGGCTCAGTGGATGAAGTCCTCTGCCTTCAGCTCAGGTCATGATCCCAGGGTCCTGGGATTGAGCCCTGCATCGGGCTCTCTGCTCAGTGGGGAGGCTTCTTTGCCCCCTCTCTCTCTGCCTGCCTCTCTGTCTACTTGTGATCTCTGTCAAATAAATAAATAAAATCTTTTTTTTTAAAAAGGGCATTAAGAGTTCAGTTTTGCATATGTTGAATTTGAGGTTCCAATTAGACAAGAAGAGGTATGCAGTAGGGAGTTACAGGAGCAGGGAGCACATGGCTCATTCCCTTGGTTCCTTCATACTCTGCTCAAAAGTGACCTGATACCCTATATACAAGAGTAAACCCACCCCCAATCTATCCCTTATCCCTCTCATTCTGCTTTCTTGTTCTCCATAGCTCTTACTACCACCAGCCACATTGTTTGCATTTTTGCTCCTTGCCTGTCTCTCCTGCCACAAGAACACCCCGCCCCTCGGCAGGGAAACGGTCCATTTCGCTCACTGCTCTATCCCCACCAGAAGACTTAACACGGAGTAAGTGCTTACTACTTTTGTTAAATGAATGGAGCAAGCCCAAGAGAGCTTCAAATGGAAACCACTCCTGTTAGAGAAACTAAATCAAGCACCCTAAATTCTAAATGTTTTGCATATTTTCTTGTTATCCAGCCATCCCCACCTCACTCCCTGCTCCAGAAAACAAAACCGGGAGGGACACCATATTATCTCTTCTGCTTGTGGCTGTGTCCCAAATACCTCCCAAACCCTTCATTTTGGTCAATTCAGCAACAGATCTTAACTGAACACGTGTGGAACCTATTAACATAACTGTGTGCTTGGCCTTTGAAGCTGCGTCACGATTTTCTTGACATTTTATGGATATTTTAAATCATCACTGGGCAAGAGGGATAACTGTAAGGTATATGGTTTTGGCTTAAGACAGAAATTCAAGATCTTATTAAAAAAATCAATGACATAGGACTTTCTCAAACTATTACACATTACTCGATATGAAAATCATCACATGTAACATACCACATCAATACAGCTTGTTTAAAGAAAATAAAATACTTCAGGAGATTTTCAGTACCTTTCTCACTAATCTTTCACTGTTAGAATTTCCTGCTGCAAACACAATTTTATGCAAAACATGTTTCTGTGTTTTAACTTGTAATGGCAGTGTCTGGCTATGATCAAGTGTATAAGATTATTACCATATAAACTAAGGGAGAAATTTACACAGAATCTGTGGAAAGAGGCACTCCCCCCCTTAACAATTTTCTTAATAGGTTCACAGTAAAGACAATTATAATCAAGATAAGCTGTAAAATAACAATTCAGACAATGTTCCATTAGTATTTTAGAATTACTCTTTACCAGGACCAGTGCTTCACATCTATTAAAAAAAAAATCAAGACATTTCAGCAAATGCACACTCATATTAAAAGCATACAGTAGGGAAAAAAGACTCCAGTAAGATATGGAAACTTCTAGAACTCACCTAGAAAGGCAATTTTAAAAAGATTAATTATTTTAATAAAATTTAAGTTTTCCATTTAAAATATTGTATAACAGTGTAAATTTACATAAGAATGACAGAAAGATACTGAAGGATAAAACATCAGAATAAAAAAAACTACTGATGGGGCGCCTGGGTGGCTCAGTGGGTTAAGCCTGTGCCTTCAGCTCAGGTCATGATCCCAGGGTCCTGGGATCGAGTCCCACATCGGGTTCTCTGCTAAGCAGAGAGCCTGCTTCCCCTCTCTCTCTGTCCGCCTCTCTGCCTACTTGTGATCTCTGTCTGTCAAATAAATAAATAAAATCTTAAAAAAAAAAAAAACTACTGATGCTCTAACATACTACATAATTATTATTTTAATATAGTTTATTTGTAACACTATCAAAGCCAGTTTTGCTTTTTTCTAAAATTTCAAATGGTAGGGATAAAAAGCACACTGGTTTGAGCTAACTTGAACATTACATAATCTTTATTTCCTAATGCTAGTTTCAAAAGAAATAAAGCATCCTAGATTTTTTTAAAAGGCTGAGTTCAGGAAAGAGGGGGAAAACCTCTCATTTTACCTCTATTCTGTACTTGCTTTTCATGAACTTGCTTTGAACTTTTAAATTTATCATTCCAATTTTCATTAAAAAGCACAGTGAGTCACCATCTTCTGCAAAGAATTAGAGCCACGGATAATGGAAAAATAATCTCCAGGTGAAATGAACACTAGGAGGAGATTAAAACTCCTACATTCTAAAAAGGATTTGGGAGTTTTTCTCAACTCAAAAGGAAACTTAACAGCCTAACAGATGTTTTACACAAAACATGGCCAAAGTACATAGATGCTGGTTAGCATCATCTGAAAAGACGGGATAAGACACATTTATAATTCTTCTCTCCTTTAAAGGACTTTTCTTTTTAACCTAACAACCTTCTCATTCAATTATATCTGTATCTTTCCAGAAAGTAAAGGCATAAAGAGAAATCATAATGGACCCTTGCAGTTTTTAAAGAACATTGAAACCCGTGGCTTTGTTAAGGTAACAGACCTTCCACTAAGTGTTTGAGAATGATCACTGTTGCCCAACATTATTCCTACATCAGTAAGTGAAGCAGGCACCCAGGAGCCACTTTTCCTTCTCCACGTTCTCATTAAATATGATTTAGTTCTGGAATGGGACCAGAATAGGGGTGGGACAGGTGTGTAGTGGTACCTGAAAGGCCCCAATTTTCCTTATTCTAAGTTTAAAGGATTCCATATGGTGATCTGGGTATAACCTGGGCTTCTGCAAGAGACATGAATAGGCTGATTACTCTCGACTTATCTCCAAGGCATTCTCCTGAGACAGAACAGTAGTAGCCCAGCAGGAAAGCTGACATTGCAGAGTTAACCCGTCCATCACAGATACTCACTGACCACGTATTAAGTGTTCAACACTCTGCTCAGTGCTAGGGACTTAGAAATAAACAAGATCCAATTGCTACATCATATCTGCCCAAAATAAAATCTAAAAATATGAAAGATAAGGATACAGAAAGTAGCAGTGGATTTTTTTGTTGTTGTTTTTTTTTTTAGCATTAGACTTCTAACACGAGAAGCACCCCTTCTTATCTCCAGACCTCAGATTTTGTTCCTTCTGCTTAAAATACTCTCTCCTATTAACTCTTACTCATCCTACAGGACTCAGATTAAAGGTCACCTCCTGTTCTGACTCTTGGAGATTAGGTTTGATGCCCTGCTCTAGGCTTCTGACAGTACCCTATATTTCCCTTCCTGTAAGACCTCTCACTTTTCATTGCTTCCCAAATGGTCTGTTTTCTCCTGCCATTCTTTATCATCCATGTCTTCAAGATCCTCATCTGTCTGTCCTAGCCCCTGCTATCACAGTCCTTGATGCACAGATGGCAACCAAGAAATACTACTCATCTAAAATAATATGTGGTCATTGTTGACAAAGAGAAATAAGCAATTTAAACTTATTTCTTAACTCTGGGTTATAGCTTTTTAACTCTCTGAAACTGCTAACACATATAAATAGATTTTGTCATTTAAAAATGGTTCACTGTTGGGGCGCCTGGGTGGCTCAGTGGGTTAAAGCCTCTGCCTTCGGCTCAGGTCGTGATCCCAGGGTCCTGGGATCGAGCCCCGCATCGGGCTCTCTGCTCAGCGGGGAGCCTGCTTCCTCCTCTCTCTCTCAGCCTGCTTCTCTGCTTACTTGTGATCTCTGTCTGTCAAATAAATAAATAAAATCTTTAAAAAAAAAAATGGTTCACTGTAAGTTCTATCCCTCCAAAAGCTATAAAAACTTCAAAAAGAATTATTTGAACGTTACTTCTAACTATTTAACTATTATTTCATTCTTTTTAACTTTAAATTAAGTGTTCTTACTAGTTTGGAAAACCTCTCAATTAAAATTAAATCTTCTTTTAAGCATTTCCCCCAGTTAGATAAATTCTGGTATTAAAATTGTATTCACCTTTGATGGGTCGTATCTTCTGAGTGTTTCTAAGAGTTCTGGAATTTGTATTCTTGTCTCCTCTTCACAGAAGAAAATCCATGATGAATTTCTGCTATATGTTACAGAAAAGCTGACAAAGAGAAATAGGTTATAGTAAACACTTCTATAAAATGAGTTTATAATAAGGTTTAAAACTAATAAGCAAGAAATGGATGAAAGACATATAAAATGGCTAGAAATCTAGATTTTCCCCTACATTCTTCAATGTATAATTTTAGCTTATGGGAAAGCCACATACTAATGGTTTATAAGACAGCTAGAGTTCTTAAAGTTACTTCTCCATAACTCCACCAGTCCAGAAGGTAGATAATTTCCAAAGAAAAGTATCAAATATATTGACATTTTAGCTTTTAAGAAAGCAACATATTTAAAAACAGAAGCCATTCATGATTAAAAGAATCAAGAAATTTGGGTAATATAGTAGTCATAAGAAATAGAGTTAAATTTACTTTTCTTATTGACTCTTAGTAAGAAAAGTAGGGAGCATAGGAGTGGTTGGGTAGAAATGTCAAAATTTACACATTTCAAATTAAACATACTGTGGTAACAGTGGAAGTATGGTCCATGCACCTTCATGCTTAGACAGCTGATGAAGAAGAAGGACTCTGGGGAGATCCTACAGAAACATTATCAAAGAGGAGAAATAAATAAAAACACAATATGATCCGATTAAAAAAAAAAGACTCAATTTTTAAATGCAGGTATTTTCAGAAACCTGACATTTTAATCTCCTACGTACTCTCCTTTTTCTTCTCCTTTTCTTCACCTCAGGAGTTACTAGAAATGAGATATATTGGCTGAATCTCTTTATCACCTATGCATAGAAGAGTGCTGAGGACTCCAAGAAGGGTCCTCAGTGATCCAAGGAGCTGACCTGAAATTTGCAGATTTGCAAAAGTGACCAGAAGGGAAGAGCACAGAAGCAGTCAGGGATAACACAAAGGCATAGAAATAGCTTTCACTATACATCCACGGGTAGCAGATGGAAAATAAAACATGTCAGCTAAACAAGAGGATGTATATAATATCCAATTTATCTCATGTAAAAAAAAAAAATTCGAGTGCCCTTAAAAAACTAAAACACCATAATAATGAAGAGTTTGGGTTCTAAATACTAGAACTGTTACCCTTAGGTACTCAGACAAGGAGTGTAATAACAGACTCTGAAAATTTACAAGCATAGGAGGAACTAAGATTCAGAAACAAGACACACCTATGGTTAAATAAATATCCACACATATACACAGAGAAAGAGAGAGATTAATACATTTAAGGCTATGAATGTTAGCTTTGAAATAAAGCACTATTCCATATATTTCACGTTATTACAAGCCCTAAGTCAGATATATAATAATATGCTTGAATACCACCCTCTCAACAAACTTTAGTATATTCTGTTTTTTATTTGCTTCCTTGGTAACTGTTGCAGACAAAACACATTAAGAATAAGTGTGTCGGGGCGCCTGGGTGGCTCAGTGGGTTAAGCCGCTGCCTTCGGCTCAGGTCATGATCTCAGGGTCCTGGGATCGAGCCCCGCATCAGGCTCTCTGCTCAGCAGGGAGCCTGCTTCCTCCTCTCTCTCTACCTGCCTCTCTGCCTGCTTGTGATCTCTCTCTGTCAAATAAATAAATAAAATCTTTAAAAAAAAAAAAAAAAGAATAAGTGTGTCAATATTCAAACTATTACTAAACTAATGTAGATTCCACACCTGCCTTTAAGTTCATATAAGTTCACTATTTCAGGAGAATGGTTTTCAATGTAAATCTTTGGAACTCACTATCAAATAATGTCTCATTTCTTTATTTTATGTAGTATTTATTTTAACTTTCATGTACAAATATGAAAGGCAAGGACAGTAATCAAAGATTAAATCAGATGAGCAATATGACATGTCAGAGAAAAAAACAGATGGAAGGCTGAATTAACAGTTAGTTACTCAGTATACTTAATATAATTCTGGGCTTTCCCACTGTTGATTATGAATTATGCAGTAATGTCCATTGACTTTTAAGAAATGGCTATATAGATATGCTATATGTATACATAGATACATGTATATTCATGAGGAATTACATAAGAATAAAAATCATGTGTGAAGAAAACTAGTAATATTAATAGTTGAATAAAACTTTCAGATAATTATGGTATGCTAATATGGCTAGCTAGAAAAGAAAGAGCAAATACTTTAAAAGGTTTTATAAGAAAATAGGTAGGGGCTTCTGGGTGGCTCAGTCTGTTGAGCGTCTGACTCTTGGATCTCACCTCAGGTCTTGATCTCAGGGTTGTGAGTTCAAGCCCTATAATGGGGGCCATGCTGGGTGCTAGGCATGGAGACTACTCAAAAAAAAAAAAGAAAGAAAAAAAGACCTATTGTGTAGCAATCGAATCAAAAGTATAATAATGAAGACTCTGAAACCATGGAACTGTCTTTATGTTAAATGGAAAAACAGACAGCATTCCAAATATGTAAAACAAATTCATATATGAATAGAGACTGGAAAGGAACCAGGAAAATGAAAATATTTGTGTCAAGATGACCAAAGTATTACAACGATGTTTTTAAAATCCTTTAATGTAGTTAAAACATAGTTTAGTCTTAAAAGTTTCTTGAGTAAAAATGAATACACTTCAGAATTCTTCTTACGTACTAGTCCTATCCTTCCTGGTTGCGGGAAGTATATAAGGGATATCAACAGTTATCACAGAGAGGCTGTGAGGGCACCTTCCAGGCAAGGATACAGAGACAGGCCTACAAATAATCTGTCACAACAATAAAAGAAAAAAGGCAAAGTCTTAGCACAAAGGAGTGAAATTCTAGTCTAAAATAAACTCTATGGATTACTAGTAAATTATAATCATCCCTATCCCCATTCCTTTTTGTTTACTAAATCATATGCCTGGGTTTCATATCTGCTTCAGTCAGTGAACATAAAACTGGCAATTAAGTTTTCTGTACCTACTTATCTCCCAATAAAAACATTTCAAAAACTAGTGGTCTGTGTTGATAACTGCCTCCAGAGGTGTGTGAATACCTTGGTCTCAAAAATATGCCCACCTTGACTTTCAGAAACCTGATCTTAACTCTTGATTAACCCAAGGTCCTTTCAATTATAAATAAATTTTCATCCATTAATCCTCAAAAAGGCCCAAGAGCTTTTATTCTTGTTTTTATGTATATGCTATATACGTGTGTACTGATACACATGTGTACACATGTATACTGTGTGAACACACATGCACACATGCTCCTATGTATCAGCACCTCTAAGATACGATAACTTAAAAGGTCACAATAAAATTGTCTATCAAATGATCTTATCTCAGTTTTTACTACTCAGAATTGTAATAATTAATGCTCTTTCTACTTGTATGTTATAAATAACACCACCACGAGATGTATTCCTCCTTTCAGCTGCCATAACCAGCTTACAGCACTTTTACATGCAATGCAATTTTTTTAATATGTAATTGGATGAATGACTGAGAGAGTTTTCAAATGAAATAGGAAAGGGAAAGAAAATAAGAAAATGTTACATCAACAGTGCCATTTGGAATAAAAGCTATAGTAAAGGCACCCATGCGTATGGAATTGTCTATTGTCAATCTAAATGACGCCTATTCGTGCAACAATACCACCATCTCAAACCTAAAAAGTCAGGCTTTCTCAATAATGAGATAATGCCGTAACAGAGGCAAGCATAAACGGGCTAAAAATTTTAAAAGGGCCTACTGTAGGCAAATGACAGAAAAAGGAAAGAAAATGAACAATTTGAACAGTAACAGTTGACTTTTATGTCAACTATTTATTTCATTGAACCAGTCCATCTTCACTTCCATCATCAGCATCTACTGGTCCCCTAACAAGCACTTTGAGGTCAAAAAGCCTACTGGACATGCAGTCAGTACTTCCTTTGAACATATATCAAGCATACGTTCACACTTAAAGCCACTAACAATTCTGAACAATCACCTTCAAAATTAACACTCTAATTGGTTCCCTGGTTCTGACACAAATCCATCACCCGTATTTGGCCAAGGGGTTTGATTCCACAGCTGAGCATTCTAACGATGCTCTCTGTATGCGAATGGAGAGAGCCTATCATTAAAAATATCATTTAAAAATATTAAATTTTATTTATTTATTTGACAGACAGAGATCACAAGTAGGCAGAGAAGGAGGCAGAGAGGGAGGGGGAAACAGGCTCCCTGCTGAGCAGAGAGCCTGCTGCAGGGCTGGATCCCAGGGCGCTGAGGTCATGACCTGAGCTGAAGGCAGAGGCTTAACCCACTGAGCCACCCAGGAGCCCCAAGAGCCCATCATTATTGATATGGAAGTAAAATCACGAAAGTTTTATATCTAGAAATATTAATAGTACAAATGAAAGAGTCAACAGTTGAACATGGATGGAAACAGATTAATATTTTAATACCAAAAATAACTTTAATTATTAGGCAAATTTGGTTTTGGATCACTTGACTCTTTGTACCTCTGTCTGGAAAGAATTCAACTAATTTAACTTCATGCTGCTGGCCTTTTCCCTTCTTGACAGACTGTTTCCCAATATTTGTAACTTGCCCATAACCTTACTTCAAAGCATAGTGGTACAGGAGTTAATGGTCTAATTCAGTCTCATCATTCAGACCAAGTACTAAATTTGAAAGCAAAAGCCAAGACATTTGTTCAGGATGAGGCAGTGGCTCTGAAAGACTGAATCCTGTTTTAAGAAAGTTTCCAGTTCAACTGCATTTCCAAATTCCAACTGTTATATATGTCTTAGCCACTGAACTGAGCTTTTAGACCAACACATGAATTATGATGAAAATTATCATCTGTTTATTGTTATAACTTCTCCCATAAGAAGGAGGTATATCTTATAAGGATGATGATAAAGATGTCTGATATGCTGTTTGGAACACATATCAGACAGATTTACTGGTCTTTAAAAATTCAGTATTCATTTATGAACCAGATTTCATGTGATGCTGTAATAACATATATTCCAGGAACCTGAGCCTCTATTTAAAATATATATAGATATATTTGTATTTTCCAAATACCTGTCTTACCCCTATCTTCTCCTAATAAGAGAAAGCTATTACCTCATTATTTATAAAATTTATTTTTGTTAACTATTTACTTTGAAATGCATTACTAAGTACATTTTTATAGCTCATATAAATCTGTTATAACTAATTATTCATTTATTCATGAAAGGCAGCACAGCTCATTGTTTAAGAATCTGACTTCTGGAGCCAAAGTTTGTGCATCAGAATCCTCACTCTGGGGGCACCTGGGCGGCTCAGTCAGTTAAGTATCCAGCTCTTGGTTTCGCCTCAGGTCATGATCTCAGGTCCTGAGATCAAGCCCTATGTCAGGCTTGGTACTCAGCATGGAGTCTGCTTGTCCCTCTCCCTCTGCGCCTCCCCCTGATCCTCCCCCAACCTACAATAAATAAAATCCTAAAAAAAAAAAAAAAAAAAAAAAGGGCAGCTGTGATTACTGCCCTAGTTTCCAGCTCTCTGTCTCTGCTCCAGACCCTGGCCCCATAGATCAGATGTCTCACTAGTTTCTGCAACCACACCTTTCTCAACATAAGCTCACCAGCTGGCTTGCAA